ACAAAAAAAAAATAGAAATTACTCTTCTAGTATGATTTTGGAGATAAAAATAAGTTTATATTGTATTAAGTGATTGCTAAATCCATGAACATACACCTCAAATGTAACAAATCCCCCCCCCCCCTCCCGTTTGTTCTCAGGAAAATGCAAAAAATAAGTTGATTGATGTGCTCCTTCACCAAAATAAACCTTAGTTTTCGCCTAATAAATTGACTTTTTTACTGGCTATTATCGTGTGTATGTGTCGTTTAATTCAAATTCATACTTCCCTAGTACTTATTGAATCAAAAGTGAAAAATTATGGAGAGGAAATAAATGTGAATTGCACTAATGATATTGAAGGTAAATGGATTGTTTTTTTAGGTTAGGAACAAAGGACGATTGTCTATTTCACAAGCTCATACACAAAACATGACAACTACAGTACAAATCAAAAGTGCAAACGTTACAATATTAAAAAAAAAAAAAACCGAGTAAAATAGTGAGTATACTCTTCCATAGGTAGCATGTCCAATATACGTTCCTTTCCTCCCATATGTTAGTTGGTACGAGTACATGCTACACTTTGTGTTTACTCCAAAGTAGCTCATCCTTTTTTCTCATCTATGCAAACAACAAAAGCCATGTTCTGCCCAACATCAAACAACAAAAGCGTATTACCCAACATCAAACATGGGCCCTTTTTATTTCAAGGCCTTGTCCGTTGGTTGTGCCTTGTCTAAGTACCCTTAAAAAAACAGTATTTGAATGGGCCAAGTAATGCATAGTATAAGAGTACTAATAAGAGATAATGAGATATAGAGTCATACAGTAAGGGATTTTTTTTCTGTATAATTATTATTACTATTTTAAAAAATGGTTAATAGTTAAATTATCATTGAGAGAAATGTTAAAAGTTCAAAGTTTACAGGTTATTGTTTTGTCAAAAAAAAATTTACTTGTTATTAAATGTTAAAAGTTCAAAGTTTACTTGTTATTAAGAAAATCTTAACTTCTGAAAAAAAAAAAAATCATTTTATGACGTTATTAAGAAAAAGATAATGAAAAGTACTCCCTCTTGTCCTTTATTAAGGACATGTATTCATTTTTGACAAATCAAAATTAAGGACCTATTTTTATTTTAAGGGTGTACTATTTGAGAATATTCTCCACTTTTTGATGAGTTGTCAATACTTTTTGGGTATTAGTAATGACTTTTTATACCAATTTCCAACACTTTTTTTCTCCCTGCCTTCAATTATTCTCTACCACTTTTTTTCCCTCTCCATCTCTCTCTAACCCCACATGCAGTTGTGTAATTTTACCAACTTTCTTAGGGCTTGTTCTCTTCCGTTGAAATTCAGTTAAGTTCTGTTCAGTTCAGTTCAGCTCATTTCAGTTCAGTTCTGTTCAGTTCAGCTCTTAATTTACGTCTAATGATATTGCTAATGATATAAAGCCAAATTTCATTCTTTTAAACTCTTATTACAACGACGACGACGACAACAACAACAACAACAACAAACAACAACAACAAACAACAACAACAACAATAATAATAATAATAATAATAATAATAATAATAATAATATTAACAATAATAATAATAATAATAATAATAATAATTGAAATAATAATACTATAATAATAATCAATAAATAATAATAATAATAATCATCAATAAATAATAATAATAATAATAACAATAATAATAATAATAATAAATAAATAATAATAATAATAATAATCATAATAATAATAATATGTACATTTGTATATACACATATGTATAGTAATAAATAATCAATAAATAATCAAAGATCACTAATCCGTAGTTAGAAATCACTAATTAATAAGTTCAGTTCAGTTTAGCTCAGTTCAGTTCAGTTCAGTTCAACTGAGTTCAGTCAATCGGAACAGGCCCTTAGTTTCCATGAAAAAACACAAATAGGTTCTTAATAAAGTGACGGATGGAGTAATGATTAGATGTCACATATATCAAGTATTAAGACGTTACACAAACGTTAGAAATAAAAATAATAATAAAAAAATCTAGTAAATAGGAATAGTTGTTTTGAGAGTAGATTAATATTTTGATAAATGAGGATAGTTACATTGAAAATATATATAATTATGAGAAAAATGTGTAAAAAAATTATTTTAATCTAAGAAATAATTAAAACATAACTAACATAGGATTGTTTAAAAAAAAAATACAAAGGAGAACGCACATAATGGTAAGTGACTAGGGGCGTGTTCGGCGCTAGCGTTTGAGTAGCTTTTAGGTAGCTTTAATGGGTTGACTCGGTCAAACCACTACTTAAAAAATGTGAGTGTATGGCAAAGTAGTGGTAAAGGTAGCTTTTGGTGGTAAAAGTAGCTTTTATGAAAAGTTAGAAATGTTAGCTTTTGTAAGTAGATGTAGCTGTTGAAAATTTAATTTATAGATTTTAATATAATATACTGATTTTTATATAACAACTAGTCAATATCTATTTTACCGAACAATCATACTTAAATTATCTATCTTCATAGCTGCAGCTTGTTGACAACTAAAAGCTACCTACACAGTTACAACTACATTCAGAGCTAACAACTACCTTTACAACTAACAACTACCTTCACATCATATTTTGCCGAACACGCCCTAAGTGTCATCTTTCAAGAAAAGAGAGAGTAAGTTATTTATCTAGTCAATCAATAGTAAGGGCCTATTCTCATTGACTGAAATGAGCCGAATTGAACTGATTAGAGTTGAACTGAACTGAACTAAATTGAATATTTTATGAGAGAAGGAAATTAAGAGCTGAACTAAACTGAACTTATTAGAACTGAACTGAACTAAACTAAATATTTTATGAGAGAAGAAAATTAGGAGCTGAATTGAATTGAACTTAGTAGAGTTGAACTGAACTAAACTAAACTAAACTGAATATTTTATGAGAGAAGGAAATTAGGAGCTGAGCTGAACTGAACTTAGTAGAGTTGAACTGAGCTGAACTGAAAATAATTTGATTAGAACAGGGCCTAATTTTTAACAATCAATTGTATGTCACTAAATTTTAGTTCAATTTAGATCATCAATTAAAATTTATGCAATCAATCCTAACTGTTAAGCAAGTTATGCTAAGTCTAAGGTAGGACTACTTCGAATAAAAAATTCAAGATGATAAGGTCAAATAAAATTAATTTATTGCTAAAAAGTTCGGGGCTGTTCTCATTGACTGAACTGAGCTGAGTTGAACTAAACTGAACTGAGCTGAGCTGAACTGAACTGAACTGAGCTGAACTGATCTGAGCTGAACTGAACTGAACTAAGCTGAACTGAACTGAGCTGAACTGAAAATAATAATTTATAAGAGAAGGAAATTAGGAGCTGAACTGAACTGAACTAAACTGAACTGAACTGAACTGAGCTGAATTGAACTGAACTGAGCTAAACTGAACTGAACTTCAACGTAAGAGAACAAGCCCTTCATTTAAGATAAATTATAAATTAATACTCTATAATTTGTATGTTCATCTAGCATCAAAATAAAAATGTCGGCGAATTGAACACTACTTAAAGACATGTGTTTCTTCACCTTATTTTTGTGAGTTGATATTTTTTACTTAACTAAAAATAATTTTGTTTTTAATTTTTTTATTGAACTGAAATTATTTTTACTGATCAAAATTTCAAATCTAGATTATATTTGTTTTTAAAATTAATGATTTATTAATTATAAAATAAAAGTATTTTAACTGAACTAAACTTAATTTTACTAAAATAAATTATTTTCACTAAATATCAAAATACTTATATCATATCATCATTAATAAATAAAGTCGGGTTCGCAGCCAGGCCACGAGAAAGCGTCATATGACATTCCAGTATTTCGACAAGTGTCGTGCCACGTAGGCAACAAATAAGTATTATTGTGACACATATGATGCTAAGTAAGCAAATTTTGAATAATTTTTTAAGATAAAAATGTCGAATAAAGTTTTATAATTGATATACTTCTAATATTTCATATATACAAAATTAATCATAACTTTTAATAAAAATCGTATAATCTAATATTTTTTATATATATAAAGGGAAGTTTTTTCCTGAGTTTTTAGAGAGCCACGCATGATTTAATTTTTTCAGTGCGCCATGTAGGATAATAAATTTTAATGGTAGCCTATTAAATACGAGATTATTAATTTCTTTTAGAATTAAATAATTTAAATGACACGTAGACAATATTTGCGAATGAGATTTTCCAGTTTAAATTAATTAAATATAAAATATTATTTTTTGAGATCAGAAATTTTATCTAAATATATAACAAATTTTAGCACATATAATATATATATATATATATATATATATATATATATATATATAATTATTTTACAAATTTCAAACAAACCGTGCATCGCACGGACTTCATCTAGTTTGATTATATTTTCATCATAAAATTTGTTTTAAAAAGTTATTTAAAATAAGATCCATTTATAAAATAATTTTAATTTGGTAAAAATACTTTCAGATAAAATAATTTAATTTCAATGAAAATAGTTTCAAGTTAATAATAATATTATCAATTGACAAACAAAACCATAAAAATCACGCTGGCCTTCGAACTCGTGACCTTTATGTCACGCTGGCTCTGATACCATGTTAGTAGACCAACTCAACCAGAAGTTTAAGCTGATGTTTGAGGGCCGAAAATATGTTTTATATTCTATAATATATGTCTAAATATTCTGTTTAAAAAGGATTAGATGATCATATTTACAGCGAAGAGAATAGAATCTAAATCCAAATTAAATCCAGAGTCGATTTTTGGCAAGATAGTTAAGTCATAAATTGAAATGGTTGCTTGTGTAAGCGGTAGTACTTAACATTAAGAATGAACGTGCGGCTACAATTGGGATCAAAACTAGCACCGTCAGATCAAGTAAAGATGTTGAAAGTTGACCAGTCAATAAATCCAATCAAAATATCAATATAATCCAACCAACGATCATCAAATAAATATATATATTTTTTTTAAAAATTTAATTTCCCCTTTTCCCCAAATCCAATTGTTTCAATTTAGTTCATCAATTTTATACACACTGCTTGCACTCTCTTCTCACTTTCTGGGAAAAAGATTGGTGGTCAGCAAAATACAGCACTTTCAATTTCCTCTTTCTTCTTCCTCAAATACTTCAATTTTCACTGAATTGGGTATTAAATAACAAAAAAAACCCATTTCAATTTTAATATTATATCTTACCTAAAACGTCTCTTTCTTGTTGCCAGATTCTTCGTAGACTTGTTTACAAGTAAGTAAGTCTTTCTTCAACATTTTCGTCTTACCCAGAATTTGATTTTACTTGTTCAATGTTTTTTTATGTTTAATTTTCCTTTTACTGGGTCGTTTTCTGTGTCTGATTTAGATTTTTCTTCTTTTGAATCGTGGAATTCTAAGTCTAGGGTTTTAGGTTGAAAAAGGTGGGCAATTTTTTTATAATTTTCCCCCAAGAAAATATAATTTGATTTTATTAAAATGTTTTTTTAGGTATTTATGATAGGACCCAATTGTTGTATGTTCTTTCTAGGAAGAATCCTGAGATGGGTTTGTATCAATTAGTCTGAAATTTGTTGATTTGTTTTAGCCTTTTAGGGGGGGGGGGGAGGGGGTTAGTGAGATGTTAGGTGCAGGGGATGAAGAGGGGCAAGCTAATGCCCGGAGAACTTATCTTAGGTCAGTTTCATGGTCTGATAGATCACCTAATAAGCCTAATCCTGTATACCCTAGAGCGCAACCGAGCAATAAAGCTCGGTCTTGCTTGCCGCCACTCCAACCCCTTTCGATTTCTAGGCGAACTGTGGAGGAGTGGCCTAAGGCGGGGTCAGATGATCTGGGGGTTTGGCCTCTGCCTACTACCCCTGGAGGGAGAATTGGAAGTGGGTTGGGTGTAAACACGAGTGGGAGTTCGAAAATTGAGGTTGCTGGGAGAGAGTTTGAATCTAATAAGGATAAGCTTGCTTTCTATGAGAAGGAATGCTCGAGGGTAGTGGAGCATATATATTTAGGAAGTGAAGCTGTGGCTAAAAATCGCGAGGTTTTGAGGCAGAATGGGATCACTCATGTGCTCAATTGTGTTGGGTTTGTTTGCCCGGAATTTTTCAAGGGTGATCTTGTGTACAAGACACTTTGGTTGCAGGACAGACCCTCAGAAGATATAACAAGTATCCTTTATGATGTGTTTGATTATTTTGAGGATGTTAGGGAGCAAGGTGGGCGGGTTTTGGTCCATTGTTGCCAAGGGGTGTCTCGATCTACCTCTTTGGTTATCGCATATCTTATGTGGAAAGAAGGGCAAAGCTTTGAGGATGCTTTCCAGTATGTGAAGGCTGCTCGAGGAGTAACTAATCCTAACATGGGGTTTGCTTGTCAGCTTCTTCAATGTCAGAAGAGAGTTCATGCCATGCCCATAAGTCCTAATTCTATTTTGAGGATGTATAGGATGGCTCCACATTCTCCATATGCTCCCCTTCATCTTGTACCCAAATTAGTGCGCCATCCTAGCAAACGTAGTCTTGACTCCCGTGGGGCGTTTGTTGTCCATGTTCCTTCTGCCATATATGTATGGAATGGGAAGTATTGTAGCTCAATGATGTCTAATAATGCGAGGAAGGCTGCTCAGCAGGTCATTAAATATGAGAGGGCACATGGACCTCTTCTGCCAATAAAGGAGGGTGAAGAGCCATCTGAATTTTGGGATACTCTTTCCAGTGGAGAAATTCTGAACAATGGTACTGATGTGATAGAGTCTATTGAAGGTAGGACTTTATGTAGTGGATTAGTTGATGAAGACATGGCCAATAGTGATGTTAGCAATAGAAAAGTTGATGAATACGATCAAGATTTTGAGATCTTCAACAAGGCACTTGCCGGTGGAGTTGTTCCTCCTTTTACTTTGTCGAGTTCTGTGAGTGAAACTCATCTTCCTGCTCGGGAAAATGGATGGGGTAGATTGAGGAAGAAATTCGCTAATGGTATCATGAAGGGATTTTTTTTGTCACCTATTGCTTGCCAGAATACTCCATCTGTTCTTGAAAGTGGAACTGACTCCCAACATATTGGAGAAGAACCTGTTTCCCCCACTGCCTACTTTTTGCAGTCTACCCTTAAACATAGCTTATCTGAATCTATCTTACCCAATACAGATTGTATTAGTGAAGGGTTTGAACAGCTTGCTCATCATGCTGATTCATCATTTCCATTACCTAGTCCTTGTAGCTCGCCAGACTCTTTATCTCCTTATCCAAACAACAGTCCTCCATTCAATTCCAAGTCCCCTTCTCTTTCCCCGTCCACTTCAGATTATTCCAGCCCTTTTACCTTTTCACCATCCTCTTCAAATTGGTCAGACTCATCTAACCTTTCTTCACAACCTTCACCTTCGGGGTTGGAATTATCTGATCATTTGTGTACGAGAACTTCAGCTTCGAGTGAAACCGATTGTCTATTTAAAGAAGGGAATACAAGATCACGTGTTGATGCATTTTCTGCTATAAATGGCTGGAAACCATCGAATTTCTGTTTGTCATGTAAAGGTACTTCTCCTTCAATTGCTGAACGCCGGGGCAGTAATCCACCTACACTGATGTTACTTGCAACGGCTGATTCAGCTCCAGCTCATGTTTCCAGTACCTTGGTTAGATCATGGTCCTTTTCTCTTCCTAACTTGGGTGAGGAGATAAAAAGTGAAAATCATTACGAGCCAAAACATGGTGAGGTCAGTGAAGTATGTACAGATGTCCTGATGTTAGATCAGGTAAGTTTCCGATTTTAATTACAGTTTATTTAATGAAATTACATGATTCATTTATTTTTGTGTGGGTATGTCAATTTTGTAAGATGACAATAAACTTGAATAGTTGCATTATCACATATTTCTGTAGTTTTCAAGTTTGAAAATAGAGGAAGATTAAAGTTGGATAAATGGTGATATGATGTCAATGACTGCAACAATAGATTCTTGTTATATTTGGTCTTAAAAAAATGAAGTTTTGTTTATCTCATACAATAGTCAATTACTTATCGTCTTTGATATCTATAGAAAAGCTCTTAGGTGTGTTCTTCAACTACTAGAACTATTAGCATCAAACTGTTTTTTTTTTTTTTTTTTTTTTATTTTTTTTTTTTTTTTTATTATTATTATTATAAACCAAACTGTTTTTAAATATAAGCATTTTTTTTTTTGTTTTGGTAATGTAAGCCAAGTTGATCTTTATTATAAGCAAATTTGTCATTGTTAGAAATCTTAGGTTTGAATCATTCAATCAACTACATGATTGGATTTGGAGCGGTTGGAGAATTGCTATCTAGTTAAATGAGGGTGGTTGAGAAGGTTTAGTTGTTTACTAATTAGGAAGTTTGTTGTGCTTTTTTTTACTATATACTTGGAGAACTTTTGGGAAATTGATGCATTACCGATAATAGTTCCGCTTGTTTAGTCTACTGCTTACATACACCCATTGTTTTTTGTTTTGACACATTTATATTGGACACTTAACGCGTGTCCTTTCATTGTTGCAGATCAGTAGAGAAACCGGAGAAGAAAATATTCACAGAACGTCTAAACTTGAATTATAACCTGAAGCTCAAGCTTCACCAATTATGGAGTAATAGAAGTTTGAGCATCCCGAGTAATAGAAGTTTGAGCATCCCGGGCAGTGCCAAGACCTTACTCTCTCTGCTTGTGAAATGTTAGGGGAAATTTGAATTATATTTGCTCCTAATCATATCGGTCCTGGAGAACATATATATACCTCCATGTTGTACACTCTAATGACTAGCATATTAGAGCCATATGAAGTACAATAAGAGAACCCTTTTTGCTTTGGTAGACAGATAAAATCACAGCATGTAGACATGTAGTTTCAATTGTAATACTATATCATTACCTCTCAGTTCGAATTAGATTATTATCAATTTCATGTTATTAAGTTTAAGCCATGTGCATCTATGGTCCGTGGTCCGCCAACATAGTCTTTTTTTTTTAAATTTTTTTTTGAAAGAGCCAACATAGTCTTATAACCTCATAAGAAAACATTGATGATATTTTATTATCTATTGAATTACTAGTGTATATCCCGGTCTAACGCCTCGGGTTGCAAGCCGGTTGTTCTTTTACCATTCAATTTTTTTAATTTTATAAAAACGATAGATTTAACCGGTTTTCTAGACATAAAAGTGTTAAAGGGTGGTGAAGAATGAGTTATTTTAAAGTGGTAAAATTGAAATAATTCTTAATTTTTAATTGATGATAAATTAGTAAAGAATGAGTATGTTTTTAGCACGAAATCGAGTTTCTAATAATATATTCTTAATTTTTATTTGATGATAAATAACTAAAGAAAATGTTTTTAGCACGGAAATCGCAAATAACTATATGGAAGATAATCTATTCTTAATTTAAGAATAAAAAGATAATTTATTCTTAATGTTTTTAATAATCTATATGGGTGATTCATTTAAAAAGTGTGTTATTTTTGGGTGGTAAAATTAAAATAATCCTTAATTTTTATTTGATGTTCAATTATATCAACGGTCACAAAAGCATTGAGGTGCGTAAAACTCACATTATTGCAATAACTCAAGAATAGGGGAAATATTGTTTCAAAAAAAAAAAAAAAAAAAGGGGAAATACACATTTTATAGCAATGCCAAAGTTGGCAACATTACTTTGAATTTTCCAGAATTTGTAATTTAGCTTCAAATTATCACCTTCAATAAGTATACATCGAATAATTTTTCCTGGCAAAAGTAAAACAAAAATTGCATTTTGTTTTAAAAATATGCTTCAATCAAACAGTGCAGGGCAGAAATTCATATATTAAGGTCTATTAGCTGTACATATCATTGATTGATTGTAGATTACATTAAGGTGAACATAATAACCTCGAAAATTTGTAGCATGAAACCATTTAGTTAAAAAGGCCACAAAAGATCATTGCACTGAACAATAGACCAGTGCAAAGAGGCTATACATTTAAACACGCCAGAAAAATAACCACGATAATGTGGCAAGTAATTAGAGGATCAAGGCTCACACTTCGAGGCTATGTACCAAAATATCATGGTCACCTATTCATGGTTCATACTTCATACACCATTTTGTGCCCTTAACCTCGCCATAGTAGGGCCAAGAGCACTCCCTCTTAAAGTTCTGTATGACCATGACCGTTTAGCTGAAGGCTCTTTCTTGTTCCATCTATCCTCTTGAGAAAGCTGTGATTTCTTTGCTGACAAGGCATCACTTATCTCTTCCCACACATCTTTTTTCCCGTTTGCTGTTGGACAAAATCATGCAATCAATTACAATGATTTTCATACAGATTACTTTATTTTTATGATCCTATACACAAAATCATAAACTAAACAATCCAAAAGTTACAATACCAGGAGTAGCAGCAGGTGTCTGTAGTTCTTGATTACCAGTATCTAATGCACCATTACTTCCATCTTTTTTGTTGCTCTCGCTCACTCCTGAGCAGACAAAGGTAAGATAACATGCCATCAATTACAATGGTAGTTTTTATACACAACTTTCACAAACCTAATAATCGAGAATACCATAAACCAAATAATCAAAAAGTGTAATCATACCAGAAGCATCAGGTGTACCAAGTTCTTGATTGCCAACATCTGATGCACCATTACTATTACCATCTATATTGTTTCCCTTGCTCCATCCCGAAGGTCCCGAAGGGGCAGAGGTACCATTAGCAACTGCTGAGACTGCTTTTGATTGACTAGGGTCACCACGCTTTAGAATACGTACATCAACAAGAGAAGGGAAATCTATCTGCAAAAGAGAAAAAAAAAAAAAGAAGCATATTCTGTTAGAAAGAAAGCAGATAATTGCAAGATAAGGTATCCACATATACAATACACTAATGATACAGTGTGGCTAGTATGGAATATCAAGGATGAGACTAAAATAGTCTCAAGTCCAAGGATCGTTTAGTAGCAACTTTAGTGAAATCTGTCATGGCAGAAAAATATTCAATTATAGAACTAAGAAAATGAACAAGATGGAATAGAAATCAATTTCTTTCTTTTTTCAGTACTGGTGGTTGGTGAATAAACCCTAGTGAAATCCTAGAAATCGTAACAGGTTCATGAATAAAAGAAAATGAAATTCCAGAAACTCACTTGGCCAGAAAATAATGCAAATTACGTTCATCCATTACACAAGTTTTTTTATTTTTAGGTTTTCTAGCCAGTTTGCAAGGGAAATTTGGTTAAGAGTAGACATTCTCCGTGATTTACAATTTCAATGACTCAATCACCTCTCAAAATACCACTAATTCACATCATCATTCAGAGAATTTAGACAATAAATAATAATATCTGCCAGTTGTTGGATACTTGAACAAAATTTGCCTTTTGCTACGTGCTGGTCCAATCTGCTAATATAGTAGAGTATGCTACAGGCTGGTATTTTCCTACTCCCTCTGATTCTTTTTGTTCTTCCCATTTGGAGTATTGGTAAATTATTTATAAGATGAGGGAATCTTCTTAATTATTCTCAAAATACAAAACATAACAGTCATGTTGGGTCTTATTTGATTCGTCTCAATGAAAATTAAACTGTTATATTTTTTTTATCAAAAAGGAACTGAAAAAATTAAGTCAAAATATTGCATCAGCAAATGTGCACAATCAAAATGGGAAGAACATTTAGGATTGGAGGTAAAGTTACCATGAAAATTAAAGGTTAAAGTTCAAACTCAAAAAGCAAGGAGACCTTATATTATGAAGTTGAGGTAAAAGATCTTTTATTTTGAAATACTGACATCGACTTTCACAAAAATATATATAGTGACTTGAAAAAAAGTCTGAACTCTGTCAAAAATCCACTAGGAACATTTAGAGTTTTAGACAGGATGGACAGAGAATCATAAACAAACTTCACATAGTCTTGGACCATCTCATGTGCTCATGCAAGATCTGCAAATGATGCCAATCCCAACCACAAAGTGCACACAACAAGAAAGCCAACTGAGGTGAAGGGGGTGAGGGGATGGCACAGCTTTGATACCAAGTTCCTATGGATATGACATTCCAGTAAAGGAAACACTGCTCTGAAACCTTGGAGGAAATTTTAAAAAATAACTTATATTTTACAGCATTCATACCTCTAAGGATCCATCTTCATTATAGAGGGAAGGTTGTGGAGGTTGTGCAGAGTCATCGTCATCATCGTGATCACCACCTTCCATCTTCTTAAGATTAAGTGGGTATTCGGGTTCTGGAACCATAATGATTTTATTTGACTCTTTATCAAAACATGTAATTCTTCCTACCTAAAAAAGAGAATGATACATCAGAAATCAATTGCACTCACCAGAAAAATGCCATGAACAAGTACTAGGGATTTGCTAGAAAATAAATGGATTCCTACCCGAAAAGATGTCAGCTCAGGGCACCAAGTTGATGACAGTTCCAATAAACGATATGCAAGGACGTCGCCGATCTGCCATGTAAAAGAAATACACGTAATACAACTCAAAAAACAGAAGACAGAACAAGTATATATTGAAAGCAATACAACTCAAAAAACAAAAGACAGAACAAGTATGTATTGCTTAATCCCATATCAATTTCAGCCTTTTCAAAATGAATGTCATAATCCTTAACTATCGCTCTTGTTCTACATCGTAACAATACTCACTGAACCAAGTCAACAGGGCAGTTTAATAGTAATGTTGAAAATTAATTTTCTCAATGTAGAAATAAACGGAAGTAGAGAAGCAAACAACAAATTAACAGGTCTATAAGCAAGAAATATAAGAGCCAGTTTTGTTTCCAATAAGGAAAAAAAAAAAAAAAAAAAAAACAGTTCAGTTGACATTACCCTTATGCAATTTGTCAGACTTATGAATGTTATGATCATTACCTCTCCCATATTATATTTGAAGTTAAAATGAACAATACACAACATTAATTTGTAATCCAGGTTTATATTGGATGATAAGCCGACAACTGGTAAAAAATTATAACCCTTGTACAATTTCTGTCAATGTTCATAGTTGTGGAAGGAAATTTATGCTATAAGTTCGATATAAGGATGCAGGAGCTCTGTGTTTTCTTGGTAAAGGAAGCAACTTCAGAATTGGCATCTATATAGTGATATCCAAAGATACCAGATAAATATGGGAAAAAATATTTAATAATAAACAAACAAACCTCAGGCAAATCAGTTAGAGGAACGAGCTTCTCAAAATTTGTAGACGAATCATTGGCCCGCTGTTTTCTAGAAGCCCATGAATTACGATCTCTTGGTTCCTTCCAGGAGGAGGTTCGTTGGTTTCTGTTAGCTCTTGAACTAGAAGAATGGCCATTATAATCTCTGTATTCCTTCCTGGAGTTTGGCTGGTTCTCTCTGCCCCATTTCTGACCTTTCCTTTTGTTTGTGATTCCGTTCCAGGAATATGGTTCCTGTATTTGACGCTATGTTGTAAAATACAATTTTGACAGAGAGAAAGGGGATAGCAATTTATAAACACCTTTTTCATACTATCAAAATATTACACCAAAAGCAATAGTGGGAAGCACAGAAGCTGTGATGCGATATAAATTATATAAACTCTGCAAGAAACTAATACTGACTTATAAATTATCATCATAAAAACCATACAAGATAATAATGTATGATAAAAGCAGATAAACTGAAAGAGGAGGAGAAAGGGGGTAAAATACAATGTCTTGAGACCTGTTGGACAGTTAACAACTTAACTGTGGCCGTATTCATGAAAACAGACCGCTTATATCATGCCTTAAAGCAAAAATAATTTCAGTTCACTAAAAATAATTGCTTGGCATTTAAGCCGTATTTCAGTTCACTTACAAAAAAATTCAGATCAGCAAAAATAATTTCAGTTCACTAAAAATAATTTCAGCTCAGCAAAAATAAAGTGAAGTGAACGGGGCTTAAATGCCAAGAACAGAGTGGTAATTAGCATAGGCTTGGATCTTTTTTCTAAGCATCCCTTTAAACCTTTTTAAAGTTATTATACCTTATCTGAACTCAATTGAACTTCTAGACCCAATCTAAACTTGTCTTTTGTTGTAATTGAATTTGGCGTCCCTTACCTGAGCTTAGTTTTCCTGAAACTATTATTATTTGGTGAAACAAACAAGGCCTATGTAGGTTGGTTAAGCAGCAGATGAAAATCCTTGGCCAATTTGGCAAACCACCATGTTAAGGCAGAGTAAAATTTGGTATTGAAATAAATGCTAAGGTTTATCCACTCATTTGGTGCTCACCACCACACGGCTGATAATGTATCACTTAGAAAATCAAGCCCTCAAATTTTCCACTTGCATACAACAGTCACAAAATTTACGTTTTCACGCAAACACGCACGCGTGCGCTCACACACACACGAGTAACTATCACTTCCAAAACAAATAGATGATTTGGAATAAATACATGCAACGACACGAGATTGGAAATCAGGTAAATAGAAATCAGTAGCACACCATACCTTCACTACTTTATTGTTTACATCCCAAACATTCTTCTGGGCAGAGTCATCTTCCCAAGAACTTTTTTGGACTGATGGAACATCCCCCCCATTTTCTTCTTGAAGTTTTTGAGCATCAGTTGCTGCAACCAAAGGATATTTTTGTAAGCTGGAAATTATCACCATAAAGGAAATGCAGAAAAGGCATACATTACCATAATACCAAGCAAGACATCAACAAACATTAACCAAAACTGGTCACAAATCAAAAAGCTACTGCCTATATGTGGCCATGTGGGTATAGGTAGGGGTACAAGATTGGTTGTATAAAAAGGTGTCTCTGAGTGTTGAGGCGCAAGGTGACATTCTGACATAGGGGCCTTGCGCCTTTTTCGGTCTAGGCAAGGCGATTTCAGTGAGGTGCACAACTTCTTTATTCAGATATATTTCAACTTTTATTAAGTCCACCATACTTCAAGGGATCTACAGCGCAAGGAAAACCTTATCATCTTGCTGCACCTTGAGCCTTTTTATACATTGCACATAAATTGACCCTATGATAAATTTATTTAAAAAAAAAAAAACATACACACACATACTATGAATACAGAGGTTCTAACCCTTCTAGAGTTGACGAAAGCTGAAACAACACAGCAATATGACACAAAATAGACACAGCGGAAACAGGTTGGTGTCAAGGATTTACAGCCCCTTTAAATAAAGGAGTCAACACAAGAAGACACAATGAATTAAACAAGAAAGGTTCGGGACTTCTGGTAGGGGTAGAGATTCCCAACACGTAACCAACACGACTCAAACCTCCAAAAAAAATTAACAAATTAGTTTTGGAATTGATGATAAATCTTTTGAAAGAAGCTAACAATTTATAAAATAACTACACTATACAAAATGAACCGGACATGGAAAGGCAGGCAAGAGTCGAGTGTTTCCGACACATTTAAACAGGACAACACGACAATTTTTATAAAACGGGTCAAGTTAGTGTTGAGGTTCCCCAAAATCATCGACCACAGGCACGAAACAACACATTTTAAAGTGTTTCATGAATGGCAAAGAATATCCATGATACATGAAAACAGATTGATATATCCATGATACATGAAAGGGAAAAAAGACAAACTAATTTCAAAGCACCCCATCACCCCACCCCCCTCAAATGGGAGAGTTGGTACCATACAGATTTTGTACTTCAAATTAAAGATCCATGCTTGAATCACCGCCACTACTAAACAGGTTGTACCCACAAATTTAAAATTAAGAGACACAAAGTTATTATATAATAGATTGAGCCATTTGGGAAGGTTTCCATCACGTGTAAATCAGTTTCTTGAGTCGGTCAACCCATTTACACAAAGACAGTAAATCATAAAAAACCCAATCAGAAGGGCCACTAAACATAGAGACGAGAGAGGGGGGGGGGATTTGTTACTACTATTTTAGTTATACTATATATCTATATCCTTCCTCCCCATATGATAAAAGAATTATAAAGATTCTTTTCCAGACCATCTTTTACAGAAATGTACTATAGAATTTGTCATTTATATGGGACTTTATTCCAGATGAAACTGACTACAATGGAAAGGCCAACTTCTTAAGTAATTTTTTCCTCTTTCCTTCCAAATTGATATACAAGACATAAGAACAAAATTAATGTGGGAGCACTACTACATGGGATTTTTTTAGGAAAATTTAATATCGTAGTATGTTATGGGTAATAATTGTTTTGGCCCACAATCATTATATTCTCGTTCGTGAGCCAATGAGCATAAGAACAAAATAATATGTTGTTTAATAAGGAGGATCTATGAATAAGCCTACTCACCAATACATATGAACATTGAAATCTCAAGGTATAAGGCCTACCACATAGCACAGAAATCATAGTTGATTGCCATTTTCACTAAGAAAAGGAAGATTGGTGGTTATCAACTAAAAATTACATCTTCAACAGTATAGAGGTCCAAAATAATAGAACACCTAAGGGTTGAGATTTGAAATCTAAAAAACAGTTTCAACTGAGTTTCCAGGAGAGCATTTCAAAACTGAGAAGCAGGAATTGATGATATTTCATATTAATGAAGGCAACTTGCAATGCATCTTTGGGATCTAAACTTGCACATTGTCTACAACAAATTTAGCAACACCTTTTATTAGTTTGGTGAAATATTTCTATAATCTCATAATTTCAATCCTGCATCCTAACATATATAATCAGAAAAGAAATTTTTAAAGGAGCATCCTACTTCATAACATATGATGTATACAACTGGCTCAAATAGAGAGGATCATCTAGAATACTGAGTGATTTGGAAAGTGCCCCTAAAGGTGAAGTGAGTATTGTGGTACTGTTGTTTAGACAACTATGCTATAAATTCAGAACTGGGTTGTCAAGCAAATCAAGTTTGGAAGACAAATGCGGCTGAGATGTGAATGTTGAGACGGACGTGTGGTAGATTTAGAGAAGATAGAATCCACAATGATAATATTAGCAGTAGTGTAGAGTGACAGGTGGCAGCTGTGAAGGATAAGATGAAGAAAAACAACCTTGCTGCTTCAGACACATCATTAACATCAAGATGAGGAACAGTTCGGAAATGGAATGATAAAGATATAGAAACAAGTCTTAGACGACCAAGGAGGACTGAGAATGAATGGCCAAGGACAGAAGATGCTAGGTCCCCAAGTTCATGTTGCATTGGATGGATTGAGTTGGAAGAATAATCCACTTAATTTATCCAGTATTTATCTTATTTCTTGTAGCATGCACCATGCTTTAATGATTGTGGATATCAAATTCTTGTTGCTGATAAGAAACTATTTCTATAAAGCAAGGATAATGGTAGCCGGACCTTTCCCAGTAGGAGTGAAGCGTATGTGTCCGGGCCGAATCTCTACAGGGACAAGATCACCATCTGCGTCACTATCTTCCTCAGCTAGCTGTTTGATGTTTGTACTTGCATCTTTTTTAGATCCTGAATCTTTATTTAAATCTTTTGCCTGCAATTGCTTCTCACCCTGATGCCACAACACAGAAGTAAAGGGAGACTTTACAATACACACAGGAACTATATGATAATTCCAGCCAAACAATTTAATTAATGAAAATTAGCAAATATAAATAGAAATAAAGTGACATATAGGGAACTATGTAATACAGTTATACTCCAATTTCCTTACATCCGTTTCTATTTGTTTCCCTTGCTCGGAATCTTCCTTTTGTATCTCCTATTATTAAATTCATAATATATCTTCTTAAATAACAAAAAAATGCAAAGTATATCTCTCTACTCCCCATTAAAAAATAACAAATATATCTCTACCCTCCCAAAAAAAAATTGCAAAACATTTCCCTCTGCACCTGCCAAAGAAAGAACGGGAGAGAGTACATAGAAGCAGTCCTAGGTATTACCCACAAGGACAAAATCTCTAAGGGGTCAAAAAAAAAAAAAAAAAAAAAAGGGTAGCAGTATAATTACTAAAACTTTTTTTTAAAACCCCATTCACCATATATATTACCTCATCTTTTTTTTTCCTACTCATTACCTCTGCTTAGGTACATTTGTTTTGTTCTACTCAACTCTACTTTATTTTATTTTTAACCCCCTCTACTATATACCTTATTGCCTTGAAATATTACACCTTTTCACTCTCTCTACATTGCTTACTTTATCTGCCTTTTTTTTTAACACCAACGTCCACCTTGTTCTTACACCTACTCATTTTTTTCAAATTTTCTAGATTACGTCTCTATGGTAACAAAGGCAGTATATTTTATTTCGGTCCTTCTTGTAAATTAGAGTAGGTTTTTTATTGACATAATCCAACCTTAATTTGATTAAAATCAACAACTAAATTCATCAAGATATAAAGTGATACCTCTATTAGTATACACTTCTAGTTCATCTCATTTGTGGCAAACGAACTTCACTATCTTACCCCTCTTACCCCAAATTATTAGCACCTTTCCACTCTCTCCCTCTTACTTTTTCTACTTTTTTCTTACACCCCCCAATTCTTTGCTCAATCTTACTATATCCATCTTTTACTTACACAGTTACACTCACCCACCTTTCACTAGACATTCTAATACTACATATCTGCAGCACATAACAGAACACAAAAAAAGGGTATTAAAACAAGTTGCTCTTGATATACCACTTGTATTATCATATTTTATAGTCTTCATACCATTGAAACAATCTCAAAATATGCTTCACAAGATCCATGTGCCACATACTAATACCAAATCGAGAAAGGCTAGCATAATTTGTATTTTCATATATTTTTATAGTTTTCTTATATTTCATTTTTTTAGCTACATGCATCACTAGGGTTTAAAGGCTATAGTATATGTAAACCTAAGTAAATAGCTTAATTTCTAGCAATAAGGGATGTACTTCCCACTCCTAGCAGTAGAACTCACAGGTGGATCTGTCCCAATTGATATCATACCTCATCGACATTAGCTTTGTCAGGGTGTAATTTTCTCCACTGCCTCTGCAACCTCTTACGGCGAGTGCCTCTGGATACCTGAAAAGAAGGGGACAAAAGTCTTATTTCAAATATGAATAATAAAAAAATTAAAACCTGTTGCGTAACATCCATGTGAAAATTGATCTCCATGATAGGACAGACCCCTACAATAACAAATAATTATAACAAAAAAGGATAGGATATCTGACAAACCCTCAGCAGCTAACAAGAGATTGGTAGAAATCATGGGATGACAACAAATGGAATAGAATATTGAATATATACCATACAGAAGCATAAGCATGTTATCAATTGATTTAAACCAAGGTTATTAGAATCAGGATCCTAACTAGGATCGATAGAATCAGATCGCAGGATCGTTACAAGCAAAAATGTATACATTATGCTACATTTTGACTTGAATTTAAGTATTTCAACTAATTTTAATACTAAAATCAATAACTTTGCTTCATCAAGTTAGATATTAACTTAACTGCAATAATTAAATGATACATAATGTTCAACATCGTCAAAACGACTTTTTAACTATTATTAATGTACATGTAATCAATTGACAAAATTACAGATTTCTTTGCTGAATTGCGTTTATTTAGTAACTATGATTGAATAACAAATGTGCTTATGAAATGCAGAATACTGTATTAAAAAAAATGTGTAAGAATATAAATTTCTCAAATTTACTTACATGTAGGATCATAAAATCGTAGGATCATAGTAAGATCCTACCCCTCATTATTTTAATTCAAGTAAGATCTTACAATCCTACCTACAATCCAGATATATCTCACAATTTTGGATCGTAGAATCGTAGGATCGAATTGGGATTTTATAAACCATGATCCACACTAACCTTTCCTATTATCAGATACATAGTACAACCACTACAAACCAAAAAAATAATGTCTTCCAATTTGTTTAAGGGACACAATCATGGGGACATAATACAAATAAAGGCAACCAACAATGTCAAAAGAATTTGCACGCATAAAAAAATAGACTAGATTATTAAATCTTCATCCAAGACGAATTTGAAAATCGCAAACATCAAGGAATCAAACAGCATACAAGAAAGCCTACACTGAGTGAAAATCAATTCCAGTCCAAAGACTCAAAACTTAACACAAATACATTGCATATCAAAATTCAATCTAGTAAAGGAATTCTAGACGAATAGATATAATTAAGAAGGAGATTCGATTTCCTTACAGAAAGTTAGAACCTTAGTTTAAAGAATACCAAGGGATTTTTTTTGTGTTATTCATTAGTTACAGAAGGATAATAGACAAGCGTTCAAGCATATTTATTCAGTTCTAGGCTACCTTTTTAGCTTCATTAGGCACACCAGACGCTTGTACAGTCTCTTCCTTTTTCTCTTCAAGCACACTGCCCCAATAAAACCAAGATGTCCATTAAAAAATGCTACAATAGCAAAATTTTAAACGACTAAATACTAATACAGAAATATAGTTGTTGACACCGAAATTTTGTTAATTATTAGGTGTCAGATTTATGTAAATAAGGAGATAATATCAAAATATATAAGATATCTATCTTCAGGATCTTGTACAATATATGGTTCTAATCTTGTAAACTACTCTACGACTCTTTATATAAAGAGGGTCAAATCTAGGTTTTAATGAGACTCAGATGGAGAGAGGAATCAAGAGAGCTACGAGAGTTGTAACCCACAAATTATCAATGAAATAATTGTTCCCTTATATTTTTCTACCTCTTTAATTATGTATTGCAGGTTTGAATTTCTATGGTTTACAATAGTATACCAAGGTAAAACTGAAAGTTAGCTACTATGTAAAGAATATACAGTAAAACAGAAGGTCCTCTGAATGAGACAAATCTTAATGAAATATACAATAGATGAAATATACAATAGATGATATACACTCCTCTGAATGGCTGTCGCTCCAAATAGAAGTCAAAAGAATGAAAGCTAACCAGAATGCTTAAACAGGAGCTATCAATGATATTTAGCATATTCACTATATACAATTCATTTAAAGATGAGTTTTACTACATTTAGCAGAATAAATAAAACAACAATTATTCTTAAGCTCAACAGAGCAAGCCAATCAGTTTCAAAACTAAGAAAGAAAACCCAAGGTATCTACAGCAGAGCGATGCATAACAAAAGTGGAATCAGTCCCATAAATTAGCATAAGCAACTCATTCCTACTTCCTAGGAAATAATACCCTTTCCACCCAACTACAAATCCAGCACGACCCTTATGATACTTCTAACAACAACATATGGAAGAAGCAAACTAATAGATGCAAGATAACAAAACGTACATAGACTTAGGTATTGGATCAGAATTTTGGGCGCATTTAACAGTTCCATCAGACTTGGATATTTGATCCGAATTTTTGGCACAATCTACGGTTCCATCATGCTTACTCCCATTAGCAAGTTTTCTTTTCTTCTGTAATGTTTTGGTAAGCTGATCAACAACCTTCTTCTCAACACGTTTGGGTGTTACCTGGCGCTGTCTTTTTTTCCTGTAATGCAATAGCACAGAAGTATTTCATGAATTATAATAGAATTTACTATAAGACAATCTATAGTAAAAGAGAGAGAAATATAAAAAGTGGGGGAAGAAAAAGGAAAGAGATGTGCATCGATACATGAAATTTTTAAAGCACATCACACAAAGTTAAGCAGTAGACCAGTATGTATACCAGGACCAGGCAAGAAACACCCATACGTAATTACCAAGTAAAATTCAGTGGAAAACAGTACATCCAAAACGGCATTCTTTTTTTAAGAAAGTATATTTTGTCTCCAACAAACTAATGAATCTATATAACAAGACAGCAATTTCCACAAAAGGCTTGCAAGTTTGTTTACATGAGTCCATGTTACTACATAAGTATAAACATTGATTTAAAGGTGACATTACAGTTCTCTTAAATGCATATCAAATTATGCTTGACAAATCATGAACAAATTACATATTGTGTCGGTTTGACTCCATTTTTGGACAGATAATTAGCACATAAACAGATAGTTATATACATGTGATATTAAAATGCACTTCCAAGTATAAAACTATTTCTTATCTTAGGCTACTTTTCATTAACCACCAATTTACCTCTATCAATATTCCAGCGTCCCCCTTTACAAGAATTAATACCAATCACAGAAGTTCATATGACAAAATATCCAAAAGAACCAGCAGGTCATGATATTAGCTACCAGTATCCACTTCAGGAATGAGAATCAAATCTGTACAGCACTGACTCCCAACAGACTGACATGGTTTGTAATAGAGAGGAATAAAGGGAGAAAATCATAGAATTGAAAGTAAAAGTTGATGGATAGAAAGACAATATTGTATAGGAACAAAAGAAACCATACTTAGAGTTCTCAATACTGCTGGATGCTTTTCTCTTTTTGGAAGCTACATCTCCATCTCGAGCAATTTGCACAGGCTCCTCTGCTTCATCTTCATCCTTATCAAGTTCGCTTAGGTAGCCTCCAGTCTCTTTATCAAATTCCTCATTTGCCAAAAGCCTGACAGCAGAAGGTAACGGTTGCCTCAATACTATTTCATCTTCAATGAAAGGCCTGGCCTCTTCAATAGCCTTCATCGTGCCAGACATGCCCGACCCTAGCCTTTTCACACTGATTCAGGAACAATCATTTACATGTTTCAGATGCAACAGTTACATAAAGAAGAGGGAAAAGAAGTGACCTCAATCTACACTCTCATGCTAACATGAAAAGATACAAGGCAACAGAAGTATTGTGAAACTAACCTTATTACGTCTTTATCCTTCAAAATGGTAGTCGACTCAAACGGTGGAAGAGCAAAGCCATCCATCTACAAGCAATTAAACTGATCAGTGCAATATTCCAGGTAAAACATAACAGACATGTGCACATTGACACTCATAAGACAAAAACAGAGCCCAGTAACAGCTTTACAAATTATTTACTCCCGCAATTAACATAATTGGAAATCATCACATGCAATGGCAGGGCTGTACAATTTCCATGAGCAGAAATTTTTTGGGCTCTTTTTTTTTTTTTTAATCCATTTCATTTTATAAAGTCAAAAATAAACATGGTCAAGAGAGTTTAATCTGAACATTTAAAAAAAGAAGAAATATAATAACATTCTAAAGAGAAAAAATAAAAACTTTCAAAAGAGAAATCAGAAAATCTTAGGCAGATACGACAAAAAAATGAAAGCTGAAAACGAAAGATCAATCCTGAAATTAACAACAGAAGGCATGTCCCCAATCGTGACTGTAATCCATGCCACCAAGAAAGGTAAACCCTATTGCTTTGCCTTTCACTAAATGCATTTGAAGCATAATATGTACTCCAATAACAGCATACCATATTATCCCATCTAAATCATTACGCGGGCGCAATGCGCCAAGCGAGCAGCCCCCCCCCCCCCCCCCAACCCACAAAAAAAAAAAAAAAAAAAAAAAAAAAAAAACCTCCACTCCCCCTCAAAAATTCAGCTTACTTCAAATTAACGACCATTGGCATCAATGCCAAAGAGCATAACCCTTCAAATCACTTATTTTCTCCAATTTTACTAGTTGATGATTGATTATAGATACATAGTAAAGCTATCTTTCCATAATCAGACGTGCACTTTAACTATCACTATAAACTACCTTCTTTTTAAGATGAGGAAAGTAGCACAAAGCATCGCTGAAAGGAGAAACACCATATCTTTAATACCTTCTTACCATATCCAATAATTTGATAGGTATTTGGCCCATATCATTAGAAAAAATAACCACCACCCAACAAAAATGATAGTCATATAAATATCATATGGTAACATATCACTCATGTTACACACGCAACTCCGAGCTTCAAATATAAACATCATATCACATTTGGTCTTCAATTTCTCATTTAACTTTAGTGCACCCCGCATCCAAGTCTTGTAATGTTAGAATGGGGCTCATTTATAAACAAATCACTAGCTTAGCAAAACGACATTAATGCTACCCATGGAGATTCTAATTCCCAATGGTCGTCAAAATTTAAGCTCAAGTTCAAAGAATCACCTTAATTAAGGTCAAAACATGAAGTCACATTTCACTCATGTATAATTTCAACTTCAATTGTTAAAAATTAAAAGTGCATAATGATTTACAATATGATATTACTGAATTTTCCTTTACAAGGCTTACATAAAATTGTCTTTCTGTCATTTTCAGCAATGAACGTATAATGCACAAAAATTGTGGTCAATATATAATAAATAAATAAATAAAATAAAATATTATCTAATCAAAGGGGAATTGAATATACAATGGTATAGCCGTATAGTATAAATTCACAACAACAAATTACAATGGTACAAAAATTGAGAAAAAAAAAATTCTTTTCAATTCTCAGTCCAGCTAAAATGTGAAATACGAAGTAGTTGACAATAAGCAAGAAGGGAAAAGCTGATAAATCAAACCACATTGAGAAAATTACATGATAAAAGAACGAAAGTCATGAACTTTAAGAAATTAATAAAATACCCAACTCAAAATTAACATAAAAAATTGGAGAAAACCCACAAAAACATCAAAAAAATAAGGGAAAAAATGACATGCAAGAGTAGAGAGAAAGTATACATAAAGAACGATGCCATTAGGGCAGGAATGATGCAGGTCAAAGGAGTGAAGAAGATATGCAACAACATCGGAAATGGTCTGAAATTGAGGTTTGAGAAGAACCCATGAACGCTTGAGACCAGATTTTTTCTGGGTTTTGGTTAGAATTCCACGATCCTTGAAATTTACTCGCAATCTTCGTTGCTGTTGCGTCGCCTCCATCACTCTCGAGTAGGAGAGAGAAAGGAAGACGAGATTGTTTCAGTGTTTGGGATTTTTCGTGGGTTTTTGCCAGAAAGTTAAAGGAGTGAGAAGCCAAAAGTTGAATTGAAGTGTTTTCCCAGGGTTTTCAAAGAGTGTTCTTAAACCCTCTTTTAGAAATGCCTATGTTTTATTCACCCTATTTTTACTTACTTTTTCTGACACCAATTATTAGGGGTATTCATTGTACGGATAAAAACCGAAATCCAATCCAATTCAAACTGAATTATCAATTCGAATCTGATCCAAACTTTAAATCGGATCGGATTGATTTTTTTGAAAATTTGGATTTTCGGATCGGATTTACCTTGTTCGGATTCGAAATAACCGAATTATGAAAGAGTTGTTTTACAAAAAAAATATTTGTCAATATTAATCATGTTAAACTATAATTATGATTATAATAAGAGGTCGTTTGGTTCGCACGAGGAAATCGGAAAGGAATGAACAAAGGGAAAGGAGAAGAATGGAATGAAAATACCCTATTTTTGCTTTATTGTTTGTTTTTAAAACAAGGGAATCAATCCCACCAGCCACCACCACACCACCACAATTGCATATGGTTTTCATCTTTCTCAGCCACGAAACCCCTCGTCGGCCTTCCCCTACCCCTCGCCGCCCTTCGCAAACTCTCCCCCACCATTCGCTGGGCCCAAATCGACTAATCTCACCCTCGAAAACCCTCCCTTAGCGTTTTCGGAGGTTTTTCGAGGTAGGGGAGGGGTTTTTGGACGGCGAGGGGAGGGGGTTTTGGGCGGCGCGCGTTTATCGGTGGGCGGCGAGGGGAATGGAAGGGGTGGCTAGGGTTTCGCAGGTGGTGGGAGGGAGATCGGGGCTAGGGTTTTGCGAGGCTAGGGGTGGTTTTTACGGGGGAGGGGAGGGCGGCGAGGCTTGGGGGAGGATCGGCGGTGGTCGGGGGAGGGGCGGCGGTGGTCTGGGCTGGTTTTTCGATGGTGTTGGTTGGTGTGAAGGTGGTGATGTGGTGGTGTGAAGGTGGGTAGGGAATGGAATGGAAAAACCTAGGAGGGGTGGGGAATGAAGTTGGAAGCATTTGGGGTAATGGGGAGGGTAAAGGGAATGAATAAAAGTGTTAAACAAACATCAACAAAATTGAATTGGGCCAGTTGATTTCGATTCCCTTTCTTGATTACCCCCAACCAAACAGCCCCTAATATTAATCATGTAAACCTATGTTTTCAATATTTGTATAAATCATGTACTACTATACTTTCAAGAATTGAATTCTATTATTGCAATTTTATTTTTATAATCGCATTAGACCCAAAAAATTATCAACGTATTTTAATTCGAATTTTCGAATTGGATCCAAATAATCGAATTATAATTCGGATTGGATTTGGTAAGTGATTCGGATTGATTGGATTTGAAAATTAAAAATCGAAATTTATTTCGGATCGGATTAGATTTGGACTAAATCCAAACCGAAAACCGAATGAACACCCTAACCAAGTACTTAAGTAAAGAATACTGAGTATATAGATATGTCGTATGGATTACATAAATACGTACTCATATGTCAAAAACCAATTCGAAGAAAGTGTAGCAAAAACTTTGAGTTTGTAAATATTCAAATGTTACATAAAGTCATAAACCCTACCTCCTTTGTTCCTTCTGCAGTCTACACACTCTGTAGTACGAAATATTTTTTTTTCAGAGCTTGCAACATCTGTAGTTGTATTATTTTTCAACTGTAACATCATATAGAGTAATACGTACTCCGTTATTTTTAATGGCGGGATGTGTTGAAGTTGAAGCTAGGGTAATGACTTTTTTTATGGCTATTTGCTTAATTGCCTCTATTTGTATTGGACAAGTCTTCCATAAATATTGCAACTTTTTTTTCTTTACATTTACATTCACTATACTCATTGAAAACAGATTTGACAAAAGCAAATGCTAGTACCAAGCAAAGATCGGTATAGTGGGAAACCTTGCATCTCATCAAACCCCACTAGAACCACTTTAGGGTGGGAATTTTCTTATCCCTCCCCTCCACTTCCATAGGAGGACCTCTGAGAGGTTTTGGCCCAGTAAAGGCCTTCTTCTTACCAACTAAAAAAAATACTAGTAAATACTTTTTTTTTTTTAATAAAGATTGATTTATATGTAAAAAGTAATAAGACAGCTACAAAGAGATTTAAATATAATAAAATAAAATCACCCTTTCAGCAGAGCTACTATCGTTATTGCAATTGTGATTTATAGTTGTTTCGACGAGTGGGTCTACCGATCTGTTGTAGTCGTGGAAGGAAATTTTCGTCTGATTCATCTGATTATAATCGAAAAATTAACCTCTTTTTCGATTTTGCACAAATCTTTACCCATGAAACAACTTGTACCATACTAAACTCATAAAACAAAAACAAAACTGGAACAAAGCCCACCATATGGGCACTTACTACCTTTTTTTTTTTTTTTTTTTTTTACAAGAAGAAAAGGGTTTCATTAATGAAAGATAGCCAAACGGCACTGGGGCACTTACTACGTTTGAAGAGTATAGTTTTATTGATTTTTATAACAAAAACATAAAGAAACTAGAGGAAAAGGGTCGGAAATAGCCAAATTTCCGTAGAAATTGGGGTTTTAGGTTCTGCAGTTAGCTTTTAGTATAAACACTAGGTTAAGTCTCGTGCCATGCACGGTTATAATTAAACTTTACAACAAAAATTATGAAGAATGGTTTTTATTTATTTATTATTTTTATTTTTGAGGGGAATAAAGAATGGTTGTTAGTTTAACAATTTATCCAAAAAAAATATTTGTGACAAAATAACTTGAATTTTAATTTATACCAAATGCGTAAAGGTTATTGTTTTGACGCCAAGCTATGGTAGCAAAATTTTGGTGGGGTCACACTGCCTTTCGAAGGAAAGTTCATTGGCTAAGTTGGGATAAATTATGCCAACCTAAATGTTTGGGTGGGCTCGGGTTTAGGGACATGGCTGTATTCAATGATGCTTTATTGGGCAAGCAAGCTTGGCGTCTTATTTCTCATCCGGAGTCTTTGTTGAGCTGAATTATGAAGAGCAAGTACTACCCTCACTCGGATTTTCTTGAGGCCTCCTTGGGATTGAATGGCAGCTATGCGTGGCGTAGCATCTGGAGCGCAAAAGCTCTTGTTAAGGAAGGATTAATTTGGAGAGTTGGGGATGGAAATTCAATTGATATATATGAAGACCCGTGGGTAGCGGACGAGAATGGGAAGTTTATTCTTTCGTCGAGGGTGGAAGGTCTCAAGCTAGTAAGTGATTTGATTGACACACAATGTAGTAACTGGAACTATGAATTACTTACTGCTCATTTCAATGCTCGTGATGTGGCCTGTATTATGCAAATTCCAATTAGCATCAGATCTCCTAAAGATCAACACACTTGGGCTTTCTCAAGCGATGGTGTGTACTCAGTGAAGACTGCATACTTACTGGGGAAATCTTGCAATCTTGAGGGGTTTCATGAGGCGTGGGCTGCAATATGGAAGCTAGAGACAATCCCGAAAGTGAAGCATTTCCTTTGGCGTGCATGTACCAACTCCCTCCCCACGCGTGAGCTGCTCCGTTATAGACACATGCTGATTCTGATTCGTGCCCCTGGTGTACAAATGTGTGTGAGACTAAAGGTCATGCCTTTTTCTCGTGCAATGCTGTCAGTGATCTTTGGAGAGAACTAAATTGCGAGTCTCTTGTTCCAGTTGAGGCGAATGAGGACTTCAAGAGTATGCTTGTGCGATGGTCCAAGCTCGATGCTAAACTTTGCTTGCGAGGTGTGAATCTTTTGTGGTATATATGGGGAAGAAGGAATGACAAGGCTTTCAATGCCAAAGAGGTGCCGCATCTTGTGGTGAAGGAAAGAGTTCAAAGACTCTCTGAAGACTGCCTCAAATACATGACAAAAATCTATGGGGTGGGTGGTGTGCGCAAGTGCAAAAGCCCCAAGGTTTGGAGCCCTCCCCCTGCTGACTTCATTAAGGTAAATTGTGATGCATCTCTCTCTGATGAAGGGTGGGTGGGGCTTGGTGCCGTGGCTCGAAATGTTAGGGGTAAGGTCATTTTTGCAGGCGTGAGAAGAGTAAGAGGTGGCTGGCCTCCTGAAATTGCTGAATGTAAGGCAGTTCTGCTTGGTTTGAAGCTGGCCCGTAGGTATGGTGTGAAGAGGATTATTGTTGAATCGGATAGCCAAGTTGTGATCAAGCGTCTCATGAAGGCTGTGACTTACTTTTCGGATCTTGACTCTATTCTTGATGATGTTATGTATTGTTGCAAAGATTTTGATTTTGTTAGTTGGTCTCATGTTCGTAGGGATGGAAGCTAGATTAGTACCGTTTGGCTTTGAGCAAGTGTGGGAATCCCACTGTCCTCCCTCCATTGCTCCGTATGTACTAATGGACAATTTGTCCAAATCTTAATTAAGGGTACTTCTAGCGTGTTTCAAAAAAAAAAAAAGGGTTATTGTTTTGAATTTAAAAAAAAAAAAAATTATTAATAGAAATTTAGAAGCTATTAGGTTTTATATAATAAAACGAAAATATAAGCTTAGGTTAGTACCCGTATATGTCTTCAAAAAAAAGGGAAAAAAAAAAAGCTAGTACCCGTATACGAACTAATATACATTTGTCCTTATATTTTTGTTGACACACTTTGACCGGCATTAAATGAAAATTTAGTTGATTTATATTACTTTAAGATAATTAGTATTCCATAGTCAACTTTTTTTCAAATGTATTTATAGTGAGTAGTAGCGGTTTTTATTTTAATTTTAATAATCACATAGCATAACGATTAATGTCAAATGATTAATGTTGGAGCTTGGAGGAAAAAATTGATACTCCTTAATATTATAATATCTTGGACAATGATATATTTAATACCTTATTTTTAATCTATGTTTGTATACTTGTAACTAAAAGATTAATAGTATATAGAATATATGTTAAAAAAAATATTAATTGAGTATGATTGGATTAGATATGTTGTCAAAATAGAAATAAGTATTATTGTAGCTTATAAAATAGAAGTCATTAAAATTTGGTAAAAAAAAAAAAAAGGAAAGTGCAAAAAGGAGGGAAAATTATTAATAACATCGTGACAAATGTCATCTTATGTTCGCTTTTAATATAGGTTAATTAATTTCTCATATGTGATGGTTTCTTTTTATTTTACATTTTTACCAATAAATGCATTACCTTCTCCTACTTTAAAAGTGTATCATCTCCTGTATGGCTGTGCTTGAATTTGGATTTTTCAAAGTAAAAAGTTGTACTTGAGGGATCAAATTAAAGAGGATAGGGAAAAAAAAAATCAAGAAGATTTTTTTTTTAAAAAAAAGTGTAAAAACAATGGTACATTTCATCATTTATTTTTATTACTAAATTGATGCACTATCATATTTTAAACAACTTTTTTCAAATCCGTTTTATAAAAAAAAAAAAAAAAAAAAATCATTGTTAAAATTTACAATGCTACAGCTTGACTTTTCATAATTAGTTCAAAATTGAACAAAATTAATTTGTAAAAATTATGTAGGAGGATTATGTATAAAATTGAAGATAAAACTAAGATATAATTTGTAAAAAATTATACTCCGTACTCCATACTTGGTGCCATTATCTGCACTTCTGCAGGGGCTTCTCCATGCCTGATGCTTAATATCGGTACTGTTTAATTCATTGTATCTAATAATTCTGGAATAACAAAAAGAAAGATGAACTAAAGCATAAGAGCTCTCACTGTTCAGGCTGGAAAACAAGAACAAGCTCTCAACTTCATGCTGAATCAGCTAGCGTTCAGTAATCAAATCCAAACTCTTAACGCCTTACATGGGAAAAAAAAAATTTACTTGGGTACAAAGATGATAAATCATCACACTTCTACTAGGAGAGTTTGGACTCGTTCTGAACGAAAAATTAATGACGATGAAAATAAAAAAAAAAAAAAAAAAAAAATTAAACCCTGATTCATATCAAAGTCCAGTCTTCTAGAATGCCCCTCTTTCTGCATCGAGCTCATATGTTATACCAATTCATTACCACTCCTGAAACAGGTTTATATATTCTTTATCACAAGTCCTGTGAAATCGATAATTTCCATGCAGCCTACAGAAACAAGCACTCTGCTGATCAGTGAATGACAGGCTTCAGAGGATGGCCCCTCACTTGCGATAGCTCAATATGAGCATCTAAGTCTTCATCTAGCTCACCAATAATGCTTCTGCCAATGCAAATGGTAGCATCAGACTCTATTATAATACCAAAGCAATTTCATAGGGTCATAGGGACAAGACAGAGAAGCAAATTGCTAATGATTAACAACTTTAAGAAAAGATATCATACATGTTGTCACCCCTGATGATGTACAAACCCAATACAATTTGTTGGACTCCTTCCTGCAACCCAGCAAATGACACATGAGTAGTTAAGAAAACATTTTAAAACAATGCACATGAATGATGGATTAGTATAAAAGCAATTATATTATAAGAGATTAGAAGATATCATCCAGTGACATAACATCAGTAAAAACGAGGAGCAGAGGGGGAAGGGGTTCAATTCAAGCATCTTGTACTGATTGAAACCACAAGACTAATTTTAGACAACAGAGAAAAATATTTATAACAGACTCAAAATTATAAACAAGCAGCAACTAGTACTTCTTATTGAGAGTTGCAGACACAGTGAAAAGAGTGCATAAAAAGTTTATGAAGCTTCGGAATTGTGCAACTCAAACAATAACTTCGTATGAGGCTACAGAGATAAATAACATAATCCTCCAATAATTTTTCTGCACTCTGCATGAACAATATTAAGACCTGGACATAATCAACATGCCAAATTATCATACTCCATGATTTACAATTCTGGAGACAACATTTTGCAAAGAAATTCAATACTTCAAAATGAACATGGTAAACGTAGATACTGAATGCTTCATAGCTCATTTAGCATAATAATGACCCCCATCTTTCTACATATATTCCTCATTACTGCTTCATGAGGATCCAGTGATTAAGTAGACTTAGTATTACTAAGAATATAACTAATATACTATGTTTTCAACCTTCATATCAAACCAGTTAATGAACACAAATTCCATCTAGAAAACTTTTCCCCTGAAACTGATTCAGAATAAACATTACAACAACAAAGCCTTAGTCTCAAAATAATTTGGGGTCGGCTAACATTAATCATCAATATTTGTTACCATTACAAAGCTCAAATCAAAGAGGAGGAAAGAGAGAGAAAGAGCCCGGAGAGATTTAAATCAAACCTTGGTAGAAAAAAACCCTCTCATGTGATTCATCAAGAATAATATTTGTTGCCTGGTCAAAACCTTTTAAGATTCCCTGAATCATAATGTATCACAGTAATCAGATAAAGATGCTTAGTATTAAAGGCCAACTCAAAGGATATACAGCTACTATTTGGAGTATTGTGCAAACTCACCACTATGTTGCGTCCATCATTGGTAATAACTGAGATCATCTCTGCAGGGCAGGGAAAAGAAAGGTTGTTAACATACAAAGGCCATGGTAACTTAGCTAGCTTTCAGACAATAATGTTGCAGAAGAAATGACTTCAACAAATTATAGCCCTGCCGTCTTTCAAAAACAAATCCTCAAATGCAAGTTTGACAACTAAAACTACAATGTAAAGCATACACACAAATTTAGAGCACTTACGATCTACAAGAGGCTCAAGTCCAGGTCCAGCAGACATTTTGCAAAGTCCTACGGACAACAGTTAGCTCAGAGTTCTCAGAAAACACTGCAGCACAACTTAGATAGGATTTCCAACGATCACCTAGAAGAATAGCATCATAAATATGTGAATAAATACAAGATGTAGAAGACAACAAGGGAAAAGTCGTGATGATAAACAAGTTCATTTAGCAGATGTCTTCAACTCGTATAATTTCTCTATCTTTTTTTTCTTCCTTTCCATTACCCTTTGTTTCAAAAATTAAGAAGTTGGAAAGACAAACAAGAGTTAAAAAAAAAGTTAAACATTTTGGCCCAGACATCAAGAAGAGAAGCAAATATATTCAACTCACATAAACTCAAATGGTTAGCAGATACCAAAAAATTAGAAAATTTTGACCATAAAATTTCCAATGGAAAAGACTCGTAGTAAGGGTAAAGCAGTCCCTGTATTCCCCAGCATGATGATGAGATTTTCAAAATCGACAAGAATAACCATGTACTCAATTTACATGGTCTGCCAGCAGTCCACACAAAGATTACGTTGTAGATTAAATAGACGATAAGATAACAGAGTCATCATATTTTAGAATAGTATTGCAATCTTAGATTAGTAGGATCATCTCCTTATTGCAAAAGTTATCTCTAGAACAAGGACGTAAAAAGACTTGAGTCGTCCAATGAAGACAATTATTTGACTAAGCATATTAGTAAAAAAAAAACTTATAAATACTATAACAGCATAATGGACCCTTTTAAAAATAGAACTACCATGTTTGTTAAAAGGATAGCTCGCTCGAAACCATAATTCAATCAAGGTTAAGTTGTCTGTGCAAAATCGACAATGTCCATTACTCCATCAATATAAACTCTTAAGTCTTAACCCATAGCAGCCAAACACGACCGAGCCGGGGCAAATAGGGGCAGCCACCGTGGGCCAAAGGAGAAAATGTTCATTTTCATAGTTTGATACTAACATTAAAGAGTAATTAACAAAATCCTGCAACACATTAGCAACTGAATTTGACTAAATTATCAAATTAGGCTCGAAAAAAACACATGAAACTCTTCTTGCAGAAGAATAACAACGTAAAATTGCACAAACAAGAATACTAGCAACAAAACTACTCGTGATAATGTTTTATAACTTCAGTAATTATAATCAATGGTTCAACTTAGATGAACCCTAAATTGACAAATAAATTAACGATAGTATGAAGCTAAACCCTAGATTGTGAAATTGATATTCGATGATTAAAAAGTTTTACCTCAGGCGCCGCTTCAATGGAGGAGAAAAAGCTCAGGCGCCGCTTTAATGGAAAATTCAGAGTACGCTTCAATGGAGGAGAGAGAGAGAGGGGTGCAGCGTACAAGTGAAAAGCTCAGGCTAAAAAAAAATGAACGTAAGAGAAAGAGAAGACTTAAATTACGCGTGTTTTCAGCCGTCCGATCTATCAGTAAATTCATTATTTAAAATATTCAATCATAGATGATTTATCTTTATATTGATTATTCATATCTTTAAGCTAGATGTGTATTTCTAACATAATAATAATAATAATAATAATAATAATAATAATAATAATAATAATAATAATAATTCTGCACTTTTGGTGGCTCAGCGCACTTTTGATGCAGCTCTTCGATCTTCCATGGAGCGTATTGTTACTGCTTCGGGGCCTGGGTTTGGTGATTGGCAGTGGCGACTTGCCACCTTACCATTTGCGTTTGGAGGGCTTGGTGTTTATTCTGCAGGTGATGTTCGTCACTATGCTTTTCTTGCTTCTCGGTTATAGTCTGCTGGGTTGCAGACACAACTTCTTCGGCATGCTGGCATTGTTGGTCGTGGACGAGCCTTTGAGGATGCGTTGAGTCTGTTTAATGGAACAGTGGAGTCTGACATTTTGAGTAATCCTAGTGAGGTCGCTGCCCCTAAACTCATGAAGAAATTGGCAGATATATATTTCACAAAGGTTACCGCTTCTGCAGAATCTGCTTATTCTTTAACTCCTCGACAATCAGCATTATGGAAATCACAGCAGGGTGATCACACCTCTGCTTGGCTTCGAGCGGTTCCTATTTCAGGGTTGGGTCAGACGATGAACGCCAAGACTTATCGTTGTGTGTTGTCCTATCGGTTAGGTGTTCCATTGTTCTCTATCTCGACGTTGTGCTCTGCTTGTTCGAGGGTTTTTGCTGGAGATATTTTCGGTGATCACACGGTGTCTTGTGCTGGTATTGTGGGTATTAAATATCGGCATAATGTTGTTCGGGATACCCTTGTTGATGTTTGCTATTGTTCTGGGATTTCAGCGAGAAAAGAGGTTGACATTGGGTTGGCCGGAGGGAACGACGAGGCCCTCAAACCCGCGGATGTGTTACTTTATTCATAGGATCGTGGTCGCGATGTCTGTGTTGATTTGACAGGGTCTTCTCCTTTGACACAGTCAGGGCTATCTGACTTCATTCCTGGGCGGGTTGTGGCTGATGCAGCTCATTGGAAGCGGGTTAAGTATGAAGCTTGATGTCAGGCGATTGGATATGGTTTCATTCCCTTCTCCTTTTCTTCGCTTGGGGAATTAGAGAAAGAGGTTGTTGCGTTACTGAAGCGGATTCAGAGGTTCTCGACGACGCAAGACATTGGGGCTCGTGCTGCAGCTCATATCTTCACTAGGGTAGGATTTGCAATAGCTAGAGGAGTGGGGGCCCAGATTGTATCTCGGCTTCCCACTAATTTATTGTAGGTTGTATGACTTTTGTTTTTGAGATAATAATAATAATAATAATAATAATAATAATAATAATAATAATAATAATAATACAAATAAAGAAAAACTCTGGAACTCCTATAAAAAAAATAATAATAATAATAAAAAAAACCTAGAACATGTAGAAGTTAATTAGAAGATTCGTAATTATAGTAACAAGTTCTCCTCTTCAAACTATTTGCCCAAAATATAATACGAAGTATTGAATGAGAGAAAAATAACCATATAAAGCATATGGCTCATGCATGTACCAAACCAAGAAATCCTTTGCACCTTCATTTTTTAAAGGCTGAACCCTTTTTTTTTTGGACGGTAAAAAGAAAGGCGCCTATCAGGCTAAAGCTTCTAGTGAGTCAATCTAATCTGGATAATTTTACATTCCTCTCAACATTGGCACACATGAGCCATTAACGTTGAACTTATGTCACCACTCTTTCTTGCTTGTATTTTACCTTAGTATTCAATTTAATTGTGCCCTAACCCAACAATGAAAATTATGGAATCTCATAATTCGAAAATATTAGCATTGATGAGAGTAGAGGTGAGGAGCATACTCGTATTGTAAATCAATTAGGAGTTGATAAATTGGTTTATAACAAAGATTCAGTTATTAGGAATGGGGAATTCATCACTAATAGTTACAATTCCCAAATTATTGGAACAAAATCAACTGTACACTCGATTGACCAGAACGAGATTATTGTATTTACTTCTGCCCTAGAAGCTATCGACAACACGAAATGAGAACCTTACAAATACGTGCAAGATATTTATTAACTCCAACTTTTGTTTGTTACATGGAGACAATACATGAATATTTGAATTATCGCGCTATACTTGGCTAGGATCAATAGCGATGCAAAAATTTGCAAAAGAATATATTGTGTCGGTTGATAAACAAACAGTGAAAGTCAAGAAAAACTGAATTGGTGATTTGCAAAGACTATAACTAGTTTGACAACTTGTTCACTAATTGAAGAAAGTCAATTACATGAGTTTAAACCAACAGCAACGTACAAGGCCTGAATGCAGCTTCCAGCTTCTCCTTCCAGAATACTCATAGACCCCTGTCAAAATAATCCAACAAAAAAATAAAATTAAAAAATAAATAAGACTTCCCATGTATCAATCACTAAGATTAAGCATGGAAAATGATCTAGCCCATATTCATGCACGCACATGCACCTTGTGCCCTTCCCAAAAACCCTAAAGCTAGATCATAATGCACAGTTGGTTGTGATCCAAATTTCTTGACATCTTAAATTATAGCGCTCAGATTGCCTCTTACGTTCACTTGTAAAGCAATTAACCAAATTAAGCATAACTGATAACCCCACCTCAACAAGATTAATCGTGACCAGTGAAAGCCCACATATTGCCTTCATATATCAAGTCATTCATTCAGAAAGTTATCCTCTGATGCTACCGAGCATTCAAGAGGGCACCATAACATCCCATGTGCTAGACACATCCAGCTAAGGGCATCATCTTCCTGAATGATGATGTGGTTGCGGTGTAGGTCATAGGCTATCAACTATCTATTTGGCATTGCAGGATGCAATTCAGTCCAACATGCAATTTTCAGAAAGTCACAATTCCTGTTGGAACTCTGTGCTAGTTTTCAGACAGACATCAATAATAATATCATTGGATGGCAGCAGAAGTTCCCAGAAAACATCTTACTTTGCAGAGCATTGCAAACGCGCAGAGCAAATATGCATCTCTCTAAATGGTGACTCTAAGGTTATATAACTTATATTAGCAGCATTTCTGCAAGAAAAAGTGAGACGATCTACAAGTCTACCTAAATGGCTATATATACATAGTGAGGTACTCAGGTGTTAATGACCACTTTGTGGTCAGAAATTGATTTTCAAAATTTCAGGCTGTAGCTATATTGGTATTTTTCATACGAATATCCTTGATTCAACCATAATGACCACCTAATTATCTAGAAAAGTGGTTCTTTCACTATTTACTAAACTAATTTTTTTAATAAAATTCCCCATCACCAAACAGAATTTCAAGCACATACACAATGTTGGTAGTACAACAATAATATGAAGTGAAATGAACACAATGAGTCTTCCGGTTCTAGTTTTTTTTATTGAGAAAGCCAACATATCTTTCACCCGTAGAGATATGTTGAAAGAAACAGAGTAATGATACATTACAAAAATGTTGACAGCATTGACACCATGTCTACGCTTGGTAAGCAATTGCATATCAAATAAATATTGATTACTTGCTTGCTCATAAAGGGCCTTCTTCAGAGAATATAATCCAATTTGTTACAACACCCTTGCACCACTTTGGTCAATATTTTAAAGGAGCTTATCACCTCAATTCTTCCATCACTTACCCAAAAAGCAATAGTACCATCAATAAGCTCACATTCTCAAACCTAACAACATATGCTTCAAACACCAATCCAAATACCCAATCGACTAAGCAATTCACTATTAACAAGTAATTTCCGACAATTCAGAAGCAAACTGTGCTAGCACTAAATAGTGTTCGATCAGACAGGCAGTCACCTTAATCCTCCCAATATCCACTTCACAAGTGTATCAACATCCTAAACAATCACATATACCTATACCATCCTATTTCAATTCTAAAACTATGAAATTCACCCTAAATTATAACAAGTGTAAACTCGACCTACAATAGTTCCCCACAACACATACTCGTAGCATTTCAGCCATTTTCGATAACTCAAATCAAATCCCATCTACATCATTATCCGGGGTATCTCCCTATACACCAAAACAGCAACATTTCCCAAAACAAATAACATTTCGGTCATATCCCATACTTTGGATCAAATCTCGTCTACATCATAATTCCCTACTCGACTCTCATACATACACAATTAAAATCAATTTAAAAACTCACAAATTCATATCCAAACAATTGAAAAAATTGAAATTGTTCAGACCTGACTTTCTTGATGAGGATGGATTTGAGCTTACGAGCAAGGTCCTGGGATTGGAGTCGACGATGAAGAGCTTTGCGGGCTAAAACGCGCTTCTCAGAATTCTTGATGTGATGAGTTTGTTCTTTCTTAATCATCCTTTCGATCCCACTTGAAGTCATTTTTCTCTGCATGAAAGAAAGGGCTTGCTCCAGGTTACCGTTTTGAACCCTAACTCGGATCCCCCGCCATTGTTGGAGGGATGAGCTCGCTGAGTTGATTGCTGAACTCGGGCGCTTCAGCAGACTCGTCAGGTGACTCATTGCTGAGTTCATTTTCTGGGGTTTTGATTAGGGGTTTTCGTCGCCGGTGATGGTGAAGTTAGAATGTAAATGAGTTGGTTTGGCTAGAAATTTTGAAGTGATGGATGAACAAGAGCCCAGCCCAATGGAGATGGTCTTTTGGACTCTTTTTTACCCTTAAATTAAACACGAGTAGTGTGTTATTTAAAAATAAAAAATAAAAATTAGTGTGCACGATAGTGTCGTAAACATCGCTTTTTCTCGGAAATGAGATGGTTATGTTTATAATGACATTCTTAGATCCATTTATGAGATGGTTATATGAAATATTTATTTATGGGAAAAATCGGACTATTAATTAAGCGATTTGTAGTCGTCTAAAGAATATGATTTTTTCGCGTAGAATTTCATAAAATCACATTACCTTAACTATATGCTACGGTGTATTTATTTAAGTCCTCCTTAAGAAAGTTAATTCTAAGCAAATGTTTTGAAGTTTAAAGCAACAACATCCTATCTCAGCAGTTTTGTATTGGCCCGTTATTACTCATTAAAAACCCAAAAATAGCCTTTTTTAACCTATACTATCACCATCCTCGCTTATCCCCATTTGTTAAAGATGGCTTCAGCAACTCATCATTGTTTCATTAAGCATGTTTTTCACGCCGAGGTGAACACTTTTTCTATTCCAATTCCTTACATTATCGACATTGTTTTTCAACAAAAGTGAACACTTTTCGTCTCTACTTTTTTCAATTTGTTTTAATAATTCTCAACAATTTCTCCATTCCTTCTCATTTCTTAGTAAGATATAAGAAGATTCTGAACATTGACATACATCTCTTTCCAGTTTTCATTACATGTATGTTTTATACTTATTGGCGATGAGCATATAATTCATGTTAGTGTCAAAATATACACACGGATACATTGCATCCATGCTTTTAGCTTAGTGATAACTTGGTAGTTATCCCAATCTAGTTAATATTAACTTTGAATTAACCATCCAACCCTGTTCATCCCCATGCCATCACAAAATATAAACATCCTCTAATTTTTCATCAGCTTTAACTAGTATTAGCTTCCAGTTACATATGCATGATAAGAATAATTTTGCATTAGGTCAGTAATCATCCCTTTACATTATAATTTCGACTAAAATTTCATTACCTATTCCCCAAACAAGACAATAAAAAAACTAACCCGAAATTGACCAAATACAACCATGACTTAGGTTGATTCATATCCCAATCTAATCAAACAATTACTTACCCATTTGACCCAAACCCAAACCCAAACCCAAACTTGAAAAATCTTAATTGAATTGAGCTAAACAATCTGGTAATCACTTCTATTGAGTACTGACATTAAGCATTATCTATTCGACTTTATATTATTTGAACTAACCGATAGTTCAGATATCATGTTAACTCACATTCTAATGAGTGTAACTTTTTTTTGTTGGAACAACGAGTTTAATTTTTTCTAGATAAAAGTATAAAATCAATAAAAATAAATAGTTCAATGACCATAGCACCCTTGCAACTTCTCAACAACTACCCATAGGCCATAGTCAATCTAGAAGTAGTGGTCGATGCCTTGTGTAAGAGAGAAATTGACGGTGGCTTCACACTCCAAACACTAGCACTCTTCGCCATGGCCGCTGAGCTACGAGAGCTCCGCCATTCCAGTTCTATCGGAAGCAGATCTTCTTCCTCCCCTCGTAAAAACCCTCAACAACAACAGCAACAGCAGCGAGACGACGACGTTTCCCCCCTTCTCTCCGATTCCGATGACACTTCTGACGGCGTTCACGTGCGTAACTCACGTGACCACCGACCTCCCTTCTTCTGGTCCCACTTCTTCTCCGAAGATTCTAGGGGTTCCCCATCAAAGCTCTCCCTTTTCTTGATCATCTTTCTCGTTGTTGCTGGATTTGTCTCCGTTTCTTCCCTCATTCGTCGTTTGGTATGTTTATTTTTGATCAATTTCTGAGATTCACTGTCAATTTTTTTCGATTTAATGTTCTGGGTTTATAAGAAATTGATGCGTAATATCTATTTTTTTTTTCCTTTCCCAATTTGGTATGGTGTGTGGGTATTTCAGATTTGGATTTGAATTTTCTGGGTTGTATGAGATTTCTGATGGCAATTACTTTTTCCCCAGTTTTAACAATTCGATAAATTAGTAATCTTGACTATCTGAATGACAAGATTTGTAACTTTGTTCATGGTGTAGCTTGATTTGGGTGGTTAATTTTGTTGAACATTTGATTTTGGTTGATGGGATTGTAGGAAAATTATGCTTACAAACCCTGTAACATTGAATTTGGTGACTTTTCCTGTTTGAATTTCAATTTGTTGGAATTCTATTAACAGGTGCTATAAGATATAGTATGATTAAGGGTGGTTATTCTTTGATGCTTGGTTATAAAATTTTCATTTGGAAGACTGACTTTTTATGTTTCAATATTTATTATCAGAATGCACCCTATTTATGCCAGAAGGAGGGCCTTATTCTTCAGTGTCCTCGGGTAAGCTTTGTGTAGATTCTCGATATGATGTAGCTTTCTTCACTTTGCTTTTCTTTTCTCTTTTCTGTTACGTCTGGCTGATTTTTAGATGTGATTTCTGTTTGAGATACAGGTCAAAGAGGCGCCTTCACTCTGGGAGAATCCGTTGTCAGCCACTACGTCTTGGAAACCCTGTGCAGAGCGTCGTAGTAGTGGCATATCAGGTTATACACTAGAAAATTGTTGAGACTTTCTGCTTGTTGAGCTTGTAAATTTTGATATGATATTGAAATTTTGAAGTCCTTTCACTATGTTAAATATGTCAAATCATGTACAAGTATTTGCATTTGCATTTGCTTTTGCTTTTGCTTTTGAAGTTTATGTTTGCCGGTATGATTTTTATACTAGTGACTATTCTAAGGAATCCCCATGTGACTTCATATTTTTGGTGGCTATGTTAGAACTACGCCTATATGAGAACAGTTTATATGCCAAATCTGATGTGGGATTAATCTGCTTTGTTAAAAATGACTGTACAATTCATCTTGCAATAGATTAATTCTCAAAGTTCAATTCCTTTCCAACCTAATATTTATGTTGATGCTCACAGATCCTCCTGCAGAGAATGAAACAAATGGATATATATTTATACACGCGGAAGGTGGTCTTAATCAGCAAAGGATTGCCGTATGGTCCTTGTTCATCTCTCACATATTGTTTTAATGTGTCTTTTTCATCTTTTGTGTGATAAAGTCTGTTCCGTGCCATCTGAACTCTCTTGGATTGTGTAGTTTAGTTGTTCAACGGAGAAATGAATCATGCAATAAGGAATAGGGTAAACTAGAAATAGGATTACTTGTTTATTACCCCTGTATGCCATTATTAGATCTTGAATAACTAGTTCCATATGACAATCTGTCAATCTTGCATGGGATACATTTTTCATAGCTGGTAGATTATTCCTTTACTTTGGTCTCTGCATTTTTCATCTACCTTCACGCATTTGTTGTCTACTATTATTGTATTATGTAATGTATCTCAGAATATCTGAACTGTTGTAGTCTGTTGCTAAATAGAACTTATTTGAAATGTATTGGCTACTGTGTAGATATGCAATGCAGTGGGCGTGGCCAAAATATTGAATGCTACCCTTATACTGCCAGTGTTGAAGCAGGACCAGATCTGGAAAGACCAAACGTGAGACACCTTATTCATATCTTTGCTTTTTGAGGCTTTTTAGATTGAGCTTCTGCTTTAAAAAGGCTGATTGTGTCATTATATCCTAATTGTTCTCCTTTCTGCTGTAACTGCTGTTAAAAAACCTTTGTTATTTAGTATCTCCAAATTGGTGTCAAATTGAATCGCTGTTAAGCTAAGTAAGAGATGGTGGAGTGCTCCCCTGTATATTTTCAGCCTCTGTGTAGCTTGTTCTGTACAGTCCAAAGACTTTTTGAGAGTTGCTTGGTGCTATCCTTTTGGGTTTTTTCTTTTCCCTTTTTTTTTTTTTTTATTCTCTAATTGATAATTTGCTTTCACAAGGTTATAAAATTTCCAATTTGTATTCTGCAGGAAATTTGAAGACATTTTTGATGTTGATCATTTCATTGACTATTTAAAGGATGATGTGCCAATTGTTCGTGACATTCCAGAGTGGTTTACAGACAAATCAGAGTTATTTACAAGCATCAGGTTTGTTCCCCCCTCTTCTCGTGTAACTTACTTTAAGTTGATTTTCCTTTTTACTTGTCCAAAAACTGAGCCTTTACATCAGTAGCTTGTCCAGAACTTAAGCAAGAATGTGTAGCTTGATTTTCAGGAAGTGTTTTTCCCTATGTCCTCTGAAAATGAACAATTCTATGTCCTCTGAAAGTGCTATTCTTTAGCCTCTACCTCAGATGCTTTAAATCAGGGCTTTCAGGGAGCTATTGTCATGTGGTGTAGGGTTTGGTTATCAACATTTAATAATAAGCACAGCATGATTGTTGGTGAGAAACAGTTTCTAGTCTTTCCTGGCCAGGTGCAGGTTCCTGATTACGTGTTAGACTGATTTATTCCAGCCTTTTGGATTTTGGTCATATGACAATAGATTTCAACATAATTGTCTTTGTCTGTGATTTTGCATTATTCTTTGGAGTTTAACAAATTTAGAAGTTAGGGCTATGAGGGGACATCACAGAATTTGAACAACAGCGTGTATGCATTTACATATGCTTGCTTTCCTGTCACTTGTTTTAAGAAAACCAAGCATGAAGCAAGGTTTTTTTTTTTTTTTTTTTTCTTTTCTTTTTTTTTTTGGTGTGTGTGTGTGTGTGTGTGTGTGTGTGTGTGTGGTTGTTGGGGGGGGGGGGTGGGGGTTAAGTATTGGAATATAGAAATGATTTTCAGCTTTCATATTCAGCAGAATTTATGATTTGAAATTTTAGATGTATGGTTTTTTATTATCTGCTTATTGTTGTGGACAAAGGTCATGTTTCAGTTTTGGGCTTTCCACCTGCTTAAGACCAACGTGGTCTGGCATATCTTCTGAATTTGTGACAGTTTATAAAAACTTACAACAAGAACTTAAAGTCATTAATGCCTTATTGAGGGAGCCTTTAAATTTTAGCTTACACTTTCATGGAATAAATATATTGACTGGGGACCTTTTGAATATCAATTAATTCACATGAAGTGTTAGTAAAAGAACAAAATCTTGATTATGAGTTATTGAAGCAACGGTTATGTAAGGGGGAAAAACTCAAAAGGGGTGAATAAGAATTTTCTTTGAGGGGATTAGAGTGATTCTGAATACTCGTATTACTTTTCTTTTTCCCTTGGTTGAGTATTGGAAAAGACTGATAAAATCTAGCATTGAAGTAGGCTAAGGTATTTGTTTTTAAGGTTATGATACGTGTTGATATTGTAGCTTCTAAATTTTTGTGGGATTTCTTGGGTATAGTTATCATTGCAATAATGATCCATATGGAGATTCTAGTGAGGGCAACTTATACATAGCCTTACACCTGATAAGTTGAGAAGCTGTTGGAAATGTGGAGCATGCTGAATGTTTGGATAGTTCCCAATAATTGGTGTCATGTTGTTCCTTTAAATTTAGACACTGATTTAGGCCATACAAATTACTGTATGTCCAATCAAAATAGGTATTATAAAGTTAAGCTCACACATTAATGAGGCTCATTACATTTGTATATTAAACTGATTTGTAGTGTTGCAACTTTTTGATATACTAAATGGCCTATAACATAGATTAAGAGACATTACATGAATCATAAACAGGACATTATTTTAGAGTGGAGGAAATAGAATACCACTGATTTAATGTAGGAACACGATATACTCCTTGTTTTCATTAGAAGCTTTCCCTTTATCCTTCTAGTTCTGAATTGTTTAAATGAAACTTCCTGTTGTTTCTCATGTCATAATTTGGCTACCATAAACATTAGGATGCTTGTTTTTGTTTATTTTTTATATATTTTTTTATATTACATGGTAGAAATTAATTTTTCTGCTTCTCTGGGGTTTTATCATAGGCGGACGGTGAAGAACATCCCAAAGTATGCTTCAGCCCAATTTTATATTGATAATGTTCTGCCTCGAATCAAAGAGAAGAAAATAATGGCCTTAAAGCCTTTTGTTGATAGACTCGGGTAAGTTGTAGCTGATGTTGTTTTGCATCCTCCTTAGAATTGCAGGTTACATTACTTATTCAAGGTATACACCTTCCTCTTTCAGGTACGATAATGTTCCTCAAGAAATCAACAGGCTGAGGTGTAGGGTGAACTATCACGCTCTGAAATTTCTTCCTGAGATTGAGCAGATGGCTGATTCCCTGGCATCAAGAATGAGAAATCGTACAGCTAATTCAAATCCATACATGTATGAATCTTAACTCGTGGAGAGAGAGTTGCCAATGAAACATTTCATTCGCTATTTGCTCTACTCTAATATTGGTGTTTCTTCTGATCAGGGCACTTCATCTTAGATTTGAGAAGGGAATGGTGGGTCTATCTTTCTGTGATTTTGTTGGGACCAGAGAGGAGAAAGTCAAAATGGCAGAGTACAGGAAGAAGGAATGGCCAAGACGCTATAAGGTGCTTTCAAATTAAACTTTTCCTTTTTATTTGACGATTTGTTATTTCTCCAGATTTTATTGCTGCGTTAAGCTTTAAGTGTCGATAGATATATTCAAACATATGCTTAATGTGTTCATCTTAGTTTCTCATGAGAGTGTTTGTTGCAGAATGGTTCCCATTTATGGCAATTAGCTCTGCAGAAACGAAAAGAAGGTCGATGTCCACTTGAACCCGGTGAAGTGGCTGTAATTCTCCGTGCTATGGGATACCCAAAAGAGACCCAAATTTATGTTGCGTCCGGGCAAGTTTATGGGGGGCAGAATCGGATGGCACCACTCAGGAACATGTTTCCTAATCTGGTGAGATCTTCTTACCTCTTTTTTGCACCCATCCCCTAGCTAGAAAAGGTTTTCATTTTTGTGCATAAGTTAAAAGCAATGACAAAAGTGGAGCTGATCAAATAAGTTTTATTGTTGTTAAAAACCTTTCTGTCAAAAATAAAAAATGTGCTGTTCCTCCCTGAAGATACCACTGTACCTGAGTAACTGTGTCCCTGTTGTCTTCTTTCCTTCTTTTTTAGGCATGGTGGGATAGGGAATAGGGGAAGCTTAACATTATTATTCACCAATCCGTCGTATTATCAAATGTGCCTTTGTCAGAACTTAATACTCCTTCCAAAGTCAGCCTCAGAAGTTTGTGGAGTATTTGAAATCATTTTTGTCATTTAAATGAAGCATTCCAACCAAAAACTCTTTTTAATATGTATTTGCACTTGACACTCGTAACAAAGTTAATCACTGAAAATCATATGGCATCTATATAGGGTATGATTCCTGAAACAAAGTTGATCTAACATATTGCGGAGTAGGGAATTTGCAACTAATTTGTCAAAAAAAAAAAGAAGGTTATATCACCATGATTATTGTTAGACTAATCATAGATTATATTGTTTCAAATTTCAATTACAGGTAACGAAGGAGGAATTGGCAAGTAAGGAAGAGTTGGATGGCTTCAGAAAGCATGTTACAAGCCTGGCAGCGCTTGACTTCTTGGTTTGCTTGAAGTCTGATGTATTTGTGATGACCCATGGAGGCAACTTTGCTAAGCTTATCATTGGCAATAGGCGATACATGGGCCATAAGTTAAAGTCCATTAAACCAGATAAAGGCCTTATGTCCAAATCTTTCGGGGATCCATACATGGGCTGGGCCACCTTTGTTGAGGATGTTGTGGTTACCCACCAAACAAGGACGGGATTGCCGGAGGAAACCTTCCCTAATTATGATCTATGGGAAAATCCTTTAACCCCTTGCATGTGTAGGGCATGAAGAGTGCACATATATGGAGTTTGGTATCAGGTTCTGTTTTGTAAGAAGAAAATTTGGAGTGGCCATTGTCCCAAAACAGATGCCTCCTTTCTCAAGATGGTTTTAAGGAGTATCAGGTAGAAAATTGCTTTATTGATGCTCCTGCTCCTTACTCGGACCAGTTATGGTTAAAGTATGTAGGTACTGAAGTTTGAGGTTGATAGACAGTGTTCAGAGGGAGACTGGTTTCACGAAGTTCTCAATAGACAGTGTTCTTGTACTAACTGTTAGGCAATTATAATCTGTATATTAATTTAAATAGAAAACTTAGATGCCCAATTGCTACTATTTTTTTTTTTTTTTGATGTGTATTATCACTTCCCACACGTCGTTTTACTCGTTTATAATTTGCTCGGCGCAGCTGAATACGCGATTGTTCTTCTAGTGTCAACCAGGAACCAACTCACTCATTCAGAGTAGAAATTGGTTGCTTACTACTTCCATCTCAAAATGAACTTTAAACTTGCTTTGTCAGGGTTGAAGGTTGTTCACATTGCCTGTATAATTATCACGGAGTAATAGACAATGGGAGTATAGACTTACTCGTAATATCATGTCATTTCATTGATTACTCTAGATGAAAATGAAACAAAATTAGATACAAAACCAACTATTAACCCTTCTGTTTCAATCAACACACTCAAAACTGATTCACAAATCGAAAAATCAAGAATCTCAGCACTCAGTAATCTCTCATACTCATCATTATATCGGAGTAATTGTAGCTATTACCCTGAAATTATTTACTTGAGATAACATGTAATAGGCTAAATTTACAGCACTTTGTATAATCAGTACTATTCAATTAATTCCTAGCAAAATTTCAATCAAACAATTTATTGCTTGAAACCCGCAAAATTAGAAAGAGGATGAAGAGTTGAAGACTGATGATTATACCTCACTCTCCCAAGTTCACATCCTCCTGTTTCTCCGGTGATTCTTCAACCGTCAATGGCGGCAGTGGCGGAGCACTCCAATTTGGCGACCAATTGTTAGGTGAGAGAAACTCTGTATGCAACCACTTTGCGAACCCTGGCGGCATCGAGTAATCACCCTGAGAGAGGAACTCCACTGACGGTGAAGGCGCCGGAGTTTCGAGATCATCTTCTGAATAAGCATCAATTGGTGGAACTGATATTGAATTGATGCTTCCTCCAGTGAATGCCACATCATGGGACTCTGGAATTTCTCCAAATTCCGGCCAAATAGCACCAACCGGTGACCTAACTTGTGAAATTTCCGGTGAGAATACGTTAATTGGCACCGAAACTCCGTCAATCTGCGGTGAATACGCCGGAATTCCTCCAAAGTCCGGCGAATACGGCGGAATTCCTTCAATCTGCGGCGAGGTAAAGCCAATTGGCGCTGGTGTTCCGCCAAACTCCGGTGGAAATGCCGAGAAAGCATGATTTGGCGTCGGAACTTGCTCATTCTCAGGTGAAAATGCCGGAAAACCTGCAATCTGCGGCGAGAAAGCGTCAATTGTAGGAACAGAGACGGATTTGACGCCATTGTTTCCAGTAATTGGAGCAGGAGTAGGAGAGAAAATCGGCGGCGGAGTAATGACGGAATCAAGGCGGTGGAAGAATTCTTCATTGGAGGAGACGAGAATTCCGTCGAGGCCATGAACGGCGATGTTAGACCTCAAGTAGAGATCAGGAAACGAAACACGAACTCCGTCAATGGCGACGCGACTACGACCAGAGGATGCGACACGGAGAAGATGACCTCGCACGAGAGTCTCCAAGTGAGGATGAGAGGAGAGAGAAATGTTGCGAAGCTCCGAAAACGAGAGACGGCGAGGAACGACATGGAAGCGCAGAGAGTGAACGTAGGTGAAGGCGTCGGTAGACATGTCGAGAGAGAAGAGGACGGAGTTCGGAGGTGCGAGGAAGGTGAAACCACGGCGTCCGACGCCATGGAAGGAGGAGGAGGAGGTGGAGTTGAGCTTGTGAGAGAGGATTTGAACGGAGAGGTCGGAGACGGCGATGGAGTTGCCGAAGAGGTTGAAGCCGTGGAGGTGGAGAGCAAAAATGGCGGATTCGAGGTCGGAGAAAGAGAGGTCCGCCATTGATGATGAGTTGAGGAGAGAGAAAATGAGGAAGATGGTGAGAGTTTGTTTTTCCGCCATTGGAGGTGTTTGTGGAAGAAGAGAGGGAAAATGAAGTTTGAATTGGGGAGGAGTAGGTTTTTATAGTGGCAGCTGGCTGTAGGTAGTTTGTTACGTACTGTAGTAGATTAGTTGGTGGATTTTTTATTTTTATTTTCTACAGGTAACATTTTAATTTTAATTTTTTTTTTTACAAAAGAGCTACTCTAGAAAAAACAAATTGCAACAAAAAAAAAACAAATTAAACTAGAACTCAAAAAAAAAACATTTGTCGTCGCCAAGCGCAACCAGCTAACCAGTGAGCCGGAGAAATCCAGGACCGAAGAACCTTACAAATTTGACATACCAAAAAGACAATTCAAGAATGAGCCGCCAAATCGAAATGTCCATTGAACTTGAACTTGGAAACAAAGAAAAAAGGGCCACACAAACAAAATAAATTCGAATCTTCAAAAACCCTTCGCGAACCGCCGCCTAAAGTTCCCATAAACAAGCTTGAATCTCCGACTCTACTTCCTCCACCCAAAACCTCCGAAGAATAAAGATCACGAATAACCCAACCTGCCCTTGCCCTACAAGTAGAGCAATCCCAAGCTCCATCGACGATCAAACAAACCATGGGGCATATGCCAAGCAATCCCCTCAAACACAACCATGGATCACTTGAAAGTACAAGCGAACTAGGCGAGCAAGATCCCAATTCGTATTTCTTCCAATCGGAGACTGGACACAACGGTTGAACAACTCCTCAACCAAACCTTCAATTGTCCTGGACAACCAAACCGCCTAATTGAACCTAAACTGGTTTTGGAAAAGCCAAATAGCCTAAAGGAGAGCAAATAAAGACTTAATACCCTTCCAAAATTTGTGATAATAGAACCGAGAAACAGTGTTAGCCAACCAATCCCCAAACTAAAGGGAACTGCTAAAAGTCCAAACAAAACCCCCAACGCTCCCGACCGCCATAAAGAATATTTTGTAACATTAATTTCTCATTTAGTACGAACATCTATACTAGTACTCCTATTAAAGTTTGAAGTTTTAATCTCAAAGTCAATTAGTACGAATTTATTTGTAAATAAAACAATCGTAGGAGTTTAACCATTCAATTATGTCTTAATATTTTTTTTAATCATGTAACATATATCTTAATATGTACTCAGTATCTTTAATATCATTCACAAATCACAATTACCGTAATACATGTAATAACTCGAGGCATTGCTCGATCCAAAAACTAGTTGAAAATAAAATGAAGATTGTAAAAAAAAATAATAATAAAAGAGAGTGAGAAAATGGAATAAAACAACAAATGAGAGAAAACAAAACATTAAAAGATTATGAGTATATTTTTATTTGTTTGGTTCAATTAGGAAATAAGTCACTTACAGTCTTATAAATAACTGGGATTCGGTAATTGTTGCACAAGCCCTCTAACTAACAAGTCATTTAAAAATTTATTTTAGTGATTTTTCGGTCATTTATTATTATTATTATTTGCTTATTTTAAATCTTAAAATGAACAAAAATCTAATATATATATATATATATATATATATATATATATATATATATATATATATAAATAAAGTAGACATTTTTCGGGAGCAGCTGGCGCGCTACATAAGAAAAAGGTATTATTTTATCCAATGAAAAATTAGATTAATAATTTATTTTAGAATTAAAAAATTTACTCGCCATCAAGGTGACGAATAAGATTTAAAAATTTTGACAGATAGGTAAAAATAACGAATAGAGAATAATTATTTTCTCTAAAAAAATAATAATCTAAGTAATAATTATCTTTTTTAGGATGCAAATTTTCAATTCATCAAATTTTCTTCTACAATTTGCATTCAAACTAGCAGGTAAATTATAAATTTATAATTTTCCTCAAAAAAAAATATAAATTTATAATTAATGGTTATTTTAACAAAAAAATGAGTATTATTATTATCTTGAAATTTGTCGAAAATTATTTTGTATCTTAGAATTTGTACGAATCTGATGATTTTGTTGAAGAATGGTGATGATATTAGCTTTTAAAATATGTTTTTAGAGCAATTTTTTCTCTTGCTTTCGTAAACTGCAGTTAATTATTGTTACTTTGATTTTTTCTCACCTAGGGTTTTGATTTTTAGTTTGATTTTACATCTTTGATTTAATAACTTGGATAATTGTTGGTTATTAAAATTCTAATTGATTTAAGATAATGTTTATCTTGTTTTAGTTGTTAATCAATTATGTTACTCGTTTTTATTCTGATTCCGAATTCAAGTGTGAAGTGTTAATTTGTTTTTTTCTTTCATGTAATTCTGTTTTTACCTTGTTTGCATCTTTGTTTTTAGCTTTACGATTTTTCAAATCTCCGTATAATGCAAATCAATTTCAACCAATTGAAATACTACTATGTGTGAAATAGCTTGGCATGCAAAACGCTAAATAGATAAAATTATACAATACTTTTTTTTTTCTTTTTTTTTTTTTAAATTTTTACGAATAGAAATATATAGTACTCGATATCATGATATGTATGATGTATTTCATTTTTTTAGGGGTCTATCTTTATCATCATCTTTTTAAACATTTTTTTTTAAAAACAAACATAACTTTTCTTAGTCATAAATTGCTTTTTTTTTGGTAGTATTATTTGTAGACTAAAATATTAAACATATAAAAAAAAACAAATATTTGACGAGGCAAGCTACAAAGCAATGTAGTCAACCAATGTTGAACTTTGTAGCTTAAACCTTTGTAGTTTTAAAATCTGATGTCATACGAATTTTGTAGCCTAAGTTGAGACTTGTAATTTGTAAATATATATATCCTCTATTTAGCAATGCACGCAAAAGTCACGGAATCAATTTCCTTCAAAAAGGAATCAATAATGCTAGATTAGCTGAAATACTAAGTATATTAGATATATACAATTATCATATAATATATACTAAATATATTCTAACTATAATCTAACAATAACTTATGGTCTTTACAAACAAATAAAGAATAAAACTGTTTGTTAAGGTAATGTCCTATTAGCACATTAGTAAATACTTTATACACAAACAAGTTTTAAATTTTATCTTCGTTTTTTGGATCAAACATGCTTTGCTTTGCCAAATACGATGTTGGTCGAAAATACAACTAATATTAGCTAGGCTACGTGCAACACCATTGGCCGAACGCTTGACGAAAGAGTAAGACACAAAGTGACATTCCCTTGAGAGCCTTAGGATATGACGTACCATATTCCCAAAAGCATTGGGTGGAGTAATGCCCTTGTTCACGTGGAGTAAGCTTTCTGAAGCCAGCTTATGGATGATTTCCAATTCTGAATGAAAAACAATCTTTACATTTTAATTCATTAAATTTAATATTTATTTTTTTATTTTATAAAAAGTTTATTTTTATCAAATAATTATGAAAAAAAAAATTTCAAAAAAAAAACAGAATATAATTTTCGAAAAAAAAATTTGAAGCCATAAAAAGAAAAAAAAAAAAAAAAAATAGCCGATAAGAATAAAGAATAGTGGTCCTAATTTTAAGGATGACCATTGTAGAAACATTCTTGATTAGTTTCTAATCTCGATTATAAGATAAAACTAATCCTGATTATCATTTTTAGTTGTAATCATCCACAAAAGCTTCTAACATTATGGAAAAATAGGGATAAAAGAAATGGATAGAAATACAATATAATACCAGATATACTCGGGTAACTAAGATACTTCACCAAACAGTCAGTTAACGTACCACCTATTATTAGTATAAATAGATGGCAGATGTTAAAGCTACTTACTCATTCAAGCAGTAAGCAGTAAGCAGTAATCAGTCTTTTCTTTTTCATTTTTTTTAAAAAAAAAAAAAAAAAAAAAAAAAAAACAGTGATCATTCTTTTCTCAATGAAGTTCTCTGTATCTCCAATTTTCTTTCTCTTCTCTCTGCTTTTACTTACTAGGTAAATATTCAAACTATTTATTTAATTTTTTAATTCTCTGCTTTTACTTGTGCCCGTGACTTGCAAGCCCAATCTCGTCATCATCAGTGCCTTGTGTGCTTTAGACACATTTTATTTCTCTTTTAGTGTTAAATCTGTATGTTAATGTTTTTTTTTTTCTTTAAATCTGTTAATGTAAGTCCAAGAATTGAGAATTTGATGAGGAAAAAAAAGTTTGGGCATCCCTTAATAAACCTAAAATTAAGGGATGCCCAAACTTTTTTTAAATGGCCGCTAATGTTAACCTGTTTTGTTTTAGTACAATTTTTGGTTGTTGTAATTTTTGTTAAAGAAGCTTGAAAAATTGCATTGAAAGAAGATAGTAAGATACCCTTAGTTGAAGGGATTATATTGTATTGTTGTTAACATGTGGTGAGCTTAGAAGTGTGGTGAGCTAACATTAATGTTGCGTTAACAGGGTAATATCATCTAATGGCTTAAGCCATGCACATCCAAAACATGCTGTGACACCACCAAGGGGATGGAATTCGTATGACTCCTTTTGTTGGACAATATCTGAAGAAGAATTTCTAAAAAATGCAGAACTTGTCGCTAAACGGCTTCGTGCTCATGGATATGAGGTCTGTGATGTTTACAGTATTTGTTTATGATTTCTACCATTCTGTAATGACATTTTACCTAGAACCAACAATTTCTGTAAGACTGTAATTTCCTGATTCCCTTGCAGTATGTCGTGGTTGATTACCTCTGGTATAGAAGAAAGGTACCTGGAGCTAATACAGATTCTTCAGGATTCGATATCATCGATGAATGGGGAAGATTGGTTCCTGACCCTGATAGGTGGCCTTCATCCAAGGGTGGGAAAGGATTCACCGAAGTGGCCAAAAAAGTGCATAAAATGGGGTTGAAATTCGGAATTCATGTTATGAGCGGAATAAGTACACAGGCAGTAGATGCTAACACACCTATCTTAGACACCAGTAAGGTATTGTTTTCAATGGTTTAGTTAATCTTGGACCATTCAAGGCATAATTACACTATAAACTATGGATTGTTTTGTTTTTCGTATTTTTAATCTTTCAGGGAGCTGCTTATATTGAGAATGGAAGAAAATGGACTGCAAGTGATATAGGGATGAAAGAAAAGAAATGTGCGTGGATGTCACATGGGTTTATGAGTGTCAATACAAATTTTGGAGCAGGAAAAGCATTTTTACGATCTCTTTATGAACAATATGCTAAATGGGGAGTTGATTTTGGTACAAAGTTTCATCATGCTCTACATTTTAATACCTTTGTCCAGATCATATTGTTTTGGTATTGTCTTACAAAATGTGTGACGTGATCATTCCTATTCATCAGTCCTGGAAAATATATCTAATGCCTACTACTGCATGTCGTTTTGATTTCTTCTTGTTAATATGTTTCTTTGAATGTCATTGTTCCTTCAACTGGTACAGCTTTACTATTTTTTTAACTCTGTAACAGCAACATTCTGATATGCTTCTGCAAGTGAGATATAATGTTTTCTCTCTTTTAAGATTTTGTCACCACTCACAAGTCTGGAATGTGAATTTATAAAGTACAAACTTATATCAATCTCGAGGTCACATAATGCATTAGGTTGTTTAGTCTTATGTTAATGTCCATTATTTTGCTTACATATTATTCTTGTCTTGATCACAGTGAAGAATGATTGCATTTTCGGGGATGATTTGGATATAAAAGAAATTAGCTATGTATCAGAGGTATCGAGATTATAAAACTCTACTAATTCATAGAACCTACTCTATATCTGTTAGACCTTTTACTAGAACATGTTTGACTCTGTAGGTTCTTAGGAAATTTTCACGCCCAATTCTATATTCTATATCCCCTGGTACGAGTGTCACACCTGCTATGGCCAAGGAAATTAGTGGATTAGTAAATATGTACAGAATAACCGGGGATGATTGGGACACATGGGGAGATGTGGCTGCACACTTTGATGTAACAAGGTGAATTAGTTTCTTACCGTCATTTTCTTCTGGTGGATCTACATCTAGTATCTTTTCTTCGTTCAATTTTGCTACTTTCCTTTACTAATATTATTACTCTTTTCTATTCCCTCTATTCAGAGATTTTGCAGCTGCGAAGATGATAGGATCCAGTGGCCTGTTGGGGTTATCATGGCCTGACTCAGATATGCTGCCACTGGGGTGGCTCACTGATCCAGGTATGTAATCACACTCACAGATACCCTCCCGTACTTTATAAAAGGCCACATTGGACTTGAATGGTAAAACCTTACTAGCTTAAACCATTAATTTGAATGAAGTTAATTAAGTAATGACTTGAAAATTATTATTTTAGATATATCATAAGACATTTGTTATTGATGTACAATGATAAAATATTATGGTCAATATATAGCTTGACCACAAAAGGCAGAAGTGGCCTGTTTATAGAGGAAATTTCATACTCGTATGAGAACTGTTTTAGTAAGCCTAGCTTCTGGAAGTGCAATATGATTGTAAAACCTATCCTATTTGAGATTTTAATCTTTAAGGGCATGACATAAGAACTTTCTTCACTTCAACTTGGCACACGGGGGGTTCTGGTTTGTCAGAAAATAGGCTAATAGATATAATAATGCTAGATCTTTTGGTACTTCAATCATGGAACAAAAAGGATTTTATTTCAACTAGTTAATATGCATGAAACTCATGCAATTTTGTTTTATAGAAACATCAAAAGGATTTTAATTTGATTATATTTTATTGTTTAGCTAATAGCACTACTGACTTCAATAACTGAATCATATAGGCTCTAATGAAGGCCCACACAGGAACTGCAAGCTAAATTTCAATGAGCAGAAAACTCAGGTGGGTAAAGCTTGTATGAATGAGCTGTGATTCCTAACAGTACTGTCTTTTACCTTGATTTTCTCAACTATTTGGGTTGTGAAACTTAATTTTCCAGATAACTTTGTGGGCTATGGCCAAGTCTCCGCTTATGTTTGGAGGAGATATGAGAAAACTTGATGACACCACGTATAATCTCATCAATAATCCTACCATTCTGGAAATCAATGCTTTTAGTTCAAATAACCAGGAGGTATGTTTTGCTTTAGACTGAACTTAAACAGTACTTTGTCAAATTCAACCTAATGAGCTGATATTTTTTCCCTTATAGTTTCCTTTCATTACGAGCTCTGATTCTACCATAAGTGACCCCTCATCTCATTCAGCACATAAGGAAAACATTCAAAGTTCTCACACAAGTTCTTTGGCTCTTGTGAGTTGCAAGGAACCCAAAGCAAAAGGCTGGTTAGTTGAATCTTTTGACCACGGTCTTGACCAAGTTTGCTGGAAAGATAATTCTGAAATCAATGAAACGCCCTTCTGCGTATACAAGGGAAAAGCTCAAGCTACATCGTAACCAATCTAGTTCCTTTAATATAACCTTCAAATTTTCTTATTGTTAGCTTTATGCTTTACTGATCCTAATGAAATGATTCTCTAGAGACAAAGAGCTCTATGGAACACAGTTTGATGGAAAATCTCATCTATTAGAAACTTCCGAAGCAGAACTCTGTATTGAGGCTTCTTCTAGACAAAGACTTACTTCACAAGAGTTCAAGAGGGGCTCTTCATCTCCATGCAAAAGGGATGCCAATCAGGTAGTTTTTGATCTAAAATGGTGTCTATATATGCTTAAATACTCTGAGGGATCTATTTTATATGCTTAAATAATATGCAGAAATAGCAATATACTTGTATGTAATTTTGTGAGATCAGTTATGTGCCAATGTTCATGGTGATGCAACTCCATTTCCCATCACGTGTTTTTCTTCATAAGTTTTCATGGTAGTGGCTTACCATAGGCATTGGCATGGGAATTTTCTCACACCGCCATTTATTATCAACAACGGGCCATGAGCAGTGTTCCTTTTGAGGAGCCATACTCGAAGGTGAGATTAAGGGTGCAAATCCCTGGAAACATTCTTGCCCATGTTGGACAGGTAAATAGCTAGTTATGTACTAATGTCAATGTGTTGAGCGGATCAAAGGTAGTTTATGATGTTGAGACTCGGCTGATGCATATTGTCCAAAATTTTATTAGATGACTATCTACGAGTACTCGGATTCTGATGCATACAGAAGTGTATCAATACTAGAACTTTTTCTATCAAGGGCTAATGCAGCTAAATTTTCAGATGTGGGAATTAAATATGAATGGCACCCTTGCGAACAGTTATTCTGGTTTATGTGCAACTATAAAGACAGTTAAAGGTAGTAATTTGAAGCATCTCTCTCATTTTCAGTGCACTGTACTCTCTCAAAAAATTGATGAACTTAAATGAGCTCCTTAATCTTTCTTTCTTTTTGTTCTTCAGCTAATGCTATCCCTGGAGGAATTCGCTCTTGGGTTGCCACTGGAAGAAAAGGTTTGATTCAATTTCTGGACTTAATAACGATGCATATTGTGCAAAGTTTTATGTACTCCAAATTGGCTTTCAGACGTATTTATGTTTTATATGTCATCTATATTTCCAGGAGAAGTGTATCTCGCCTTCTTCAATCTGAACGAAGGGAAGACAAAAATAACAACGCACCTGTCAGATCTAGCAAAGGTGCTCCCTGGTGTAAAATTCAAAGATGAATCCAAATGCGGAAAAGTTTGGAGCAGGAAAGACTGTCATATAAGAAAAGGGTCAATTTCCATGGATGTAGAAGCACATGGAGCAGCATTACTTGTTCTGGCAAACAACAGTGAATTAACCAAAGTAATTAGCATTGGTTAAAGAGTTAAGGTTACCTCCAAATTTTTAGTACTTTTTCCCTTGAACTTTGTTATGGGAATCGGAATGTTTATCAATGGCTAAATTCCTTTTTATTTTTCTTTTTGTTTTTCTTTGACAGATCAATGGCTAAGTTGAAAACCTGAGAAGAAGGTTTGTGGGGAGAAATAGAGAGCACCTCTTAATCTTCTTACTCCGGGAGATGGATCGAAATTATGGGTGTTACAAGGCAATAAAGGTTTTCGTGCGTTCATAATCTTATTTTGCATCCAGCCCAAAGGGCAGACATGAACTCTTTTACACAATATTTATGATGATTCTTTTATTGTCCTGTTGCCTACATATCTGGTGGTTTTGTGGCTGTATGTATTATACGTGTGCCGAACAGTACAGAGGGAAAAATAGCACCAGACTAAGAAAATAAATGGGGTATATAGAAAACACTTTCGCTTGGCCTCAATATGAAACTAATGAAATTTTTGAGGCGGGTGCACCATGCTCTGTGCATATGGTTTTCTTTAAAAAAAAAAAGGCGGAATGAACATATAGTTGTTCAGTAAAGAATATATAGTTGTTTTGTAAAAAACATATAGATGTTTCATAAATAATATCATATATAGTTGTTTTGTAAAAAATATATAGCTATTTTATAAAAAACATCATAAATAGTTGTTTTATAACGAACATATATAGCTGTTTAGTGAAAAAAAATCCAACATTCTTTACATATATCTAAAGAACATCCGTAACATTAATAAAGAACGTGATAATATAATGTAATGAATATTATTGTTATTTAGCCAAACTAAAATAGAAAAAATGTAATAGTATTTTTAAAGAACATCTAGTTTTTCAATCTTTTAATGAATTATTTGTTCCATAATTGAAGAGTTTTGATAATTTCCCAATCTCAATTTAGAAATTTGTATATTTCTTCATATTTTAATTTCACTTGTTTGAATTCTTTAGAGAGATGAATAAAAATCTTAGAGAGAGAAACATAAAAATATAGAGAAAAAGAAATTCTACTTATAGAAGACGATGGCTGCGTATTCAGATCGAGTTTGGTGATGCTTTTGATCATCAATTATTTGTTAATGTAGGTGAATATGTGGATTTCTTAATCAAAGATCTAAGGTAATTTTGAATGAAATTTTTTATTTATTTTTCATTTATTGTGTTATTTTAGATTTGAATTAGAATATTTTGTAATCATAAAATTTATTGTTTATTTTCCTTTTTAAAATTTGACGAATCTGGATGTTGAATTTGAGAATAATGTGACAAAGGTTGAAGATGATGTTCTTTATAAGATAGTGTTATGTTCATTATTATTAATAGCTCTATGTTCTTTTTTTTTTTTTTTTTTTTATCTCTTATGTTCAATTATTATATTTTTCATGTTCTTTTAAAATAGACGCTAAAAAATCATCACGTTCATTACATTTTAACAATATGTTCTGTTCACTTTTGATATATATTCTTTAATCTTTACAATTTTATAACATGTTCTTTCAACTCTTAACTAAATGTTCTTTACATCTCTATACAATGTTCTTTCTGTTTTTTTTTTTTTTTGGGAACAAATGTAGCGATGTACCAAGCGCATGGTGCATCTGCCTCCACGAATCACTAATTGTGAAACTAATACAATCTTAACAAGTTCGTATAAATCAATTGATTGCATCAAGAGGTTGTCAATTCTGGTAAACGGTTCAGGTTTGGGTTGGGTTTATTCGTTTCGGGTTACGGGTCGATTTATAATGGGTTGAAATGATAAACTGGTCGGTTTGGGTCAGTTTTGAAAATTATCGGATCAATTCGTTTTGGGTTTTTTTTGTGGTTTCTATTCGGGTCGGGTCCTAATCGGATCCGGTTGTAATAAGTTCGGGTCATAATCAATTTGGGTTGATCAGAATCGGTTTGAAAACGGGTTTAGCTAGTTTAAAGTGGGTTTTGGTTCAAAACAACTCAGGTCCTAATCGAGTCAGGTTGTAATCGGTTTGGGCCATAATCAGTTTGATTTAATTGGTTCGGTTGAAAATGGTTTTCGGTTCAAACTAGATCGGGTGAAATCGAGTCTAGTCATTATCGATTCAGGTCATATTCGATTTGGATTGAACTGGTCGGTTTGAAAACGGGTTTAGCCAATTTGAAGCCGGTCCAAGTTCAAATCATATTGGGTTAAAATGGAGTTGTATCATTATGGAGCCGGGTTAATCAGATAATGGGTAGGAACGGGTCTTGTTATAATCAAGTTAAGTCAAATAAAAGTTAGGTTTATCGAGTACTATGTTGAAAAGATATCTGATCACAAACATATTGGGTACAGTTGTAAACGACTAAGTCAAAACGGGTACAGATTGGAAACGGTTCGGTCTCAACACGATACGGGTAGTAAACAGTCTGGTCTCAACGGGTTAGGGTTGGAAAGAATTTGTTTACAACGGGTTACGGGTTATAAACGGTTCAGTCACAACGGGTTACGGGTTGGAAAAATTCAAGTTTATCGGATTGTTGCTGGGTTTGAATAGTTTTCGGTTTAAAATGGGTTGGGTTACTATCAAGTTACGATTTCTTCTATTGGATTGAGCAAGGAGATCCCTCGGACGTAATCAGTTCGATTTGTTTTCAGTTTTGGGTTGTAATGGTTTGGCTTGATAACAGGTCGGGTCAGTAACGATTTGATCAAATCCGATTCAGGTCAGTTTTGGGTTGAAAAAAATTGGGTCAAATTTTTTTTTGTACATAATTAATAACTCAAATTAATTTTCAGGCCCCAGGCAATAACCTGAGTTATTACATTAATTTCATGATTAAAATCCTTAATTATATTTAATTTTAATAATTTTTTAGTACTATATAATATGATATAGATTAGTGGCTAGCATTATAGTTTTGATACTTGATGTCTTGAGTTCAAATCTTGTCACCTTTAAATATATAGTACTTATCGATATAGATTTCTTGTACATATTTGATTAGTAAGCTTTAATTATTCAAATTCAATTGATAATTAATAAATAATAACTTGTACTTATTTAATTTGTAAACTTCTAATCTGTTTTATGTAAGGACCTTTTCTCTCTCAAAAAAAAAAAAATGTAAGGACCTTTTCTATCCATAACATTAGCTATTCTGTCAATTTAGCATGTTTATTGTTCGTGGATAGTCTTTCGAGCCGTTAAATTCTTGCTGATCTTCTCGTATGTTTAATTCAATATCTAATGTATGATTTTGTTTATTAATACGGAGTAGTAATGATTCTAATCTTATACTAGTACGAAGTAACTTTTGTTAAAGATGTGATATATTATGAACTACAAGTATGCACTGAAACATATTCAACATGGTCATACAAGATTATTATTTGTATACTCTGATCCTTATTACTTGTATTTATCAAAGACAGTCGAAATTGAAGTTTAAATAGTATAACAGGTTCACCCTTTTATTAGCTTCAAAATTTTTTGTGTACACCGATTTACAATAAAATTAGTGTACATTAAATAGTTTTTGGGCAATTTTTAATTAATTTAGGCAAACTTTTAACTTTTTTTGGAGCAACTTTCAACCTAGTACGATTTTAAAATACATAGGCAATGGAAAGTTTTCAAGTGTGATATTCTAATTTTGACTCAATGAGATTTAAATTTTACTCATTTAAATTGGATAGCTATATCGATAACACAAAGTTTTATAAACGACTGGCCTTACATAAAGGAGAAGGCCTCCTTTCTCTCTCTCTCTCCTCTCCTTCTCCTCCATCTATGGTCGAGCACCGACTTCCTCGAAGCTCCAACCCAAATCGTCGTCGTCTTCGTTTCTCTCTCCTCTTTTCTTCTCCATCCGATCTACCAACTGTCGTCGTCATTGATTAGGGGTTGGTCATGGTTAGGGTAATTTCGTCGTCATGGGTTATGGGTTCGGTCAGGGTAAGGGTGGGTTTTGGGTGTGGGTTCGAGTTCGGGTTCAGTCAGGTTAATGGTGGGTTTCGTGGGTTAGGGGCTGGTGGCGTGTTGTTTGGGGCTGGGGCTAGTGGCGTGAGGTGGTGGTGTGGGGTAGTGGCTTATCTGTGTGATGAGTGAGGTGCAGCAAGTGGTGGGGTGGTGGAGTTTAAGGCTTTGAGATGGTGTTGGATTAGGGGTTACTTACTTGGTTAGAGGTTACTAAGGGGGTTAGGGTTACTTACTTGGTCAGTGGTTACTGGGGGGGGGGGGGAGTACTAGAGGTTATTAGATGAGTTACTTGAGGAGTTACTTAAGTAGGGTTACTAGAGAAATTAATTGATTGGGGTTACTTAAGTTGGGTTACTAGAGGGGTTATTCGAGAGGTTACTAATCGCATTTGACAAAGCTATTTGATGATTTTCGGGGTGAAAGGAGGACCAAAAACTTGTTGTATCGAAAGCACAACTTACTTTATTTAGTCCAGGGTAACTTTCATTTATATAAATAACTTTTATTTATTTTGATTTATATTTTATTTTTCAGATGTACATAATTTATCATGTACACTCTTTATGTAAAGGTTTGTGTTTCGCATTGATTAATTAACTAGATATTGGTCTAGGGCAATACCCCCCGTTCATCATGAATTTATAAATTTTTTTCCAATTTATAACAAATGAGGTTCCCGTCGAGTAAAATTATCACATAAAATTCATTCATGCATTCAAATTCAAGTATTAAGGCCCTGTTATCTTACGTTGAAATTCAGTTCAGTTATGTCCAGTTCAGTTCAGCTCAACTCCTAATTTCGTTCTCTTATAAAATATTCATTTCAGTTCAATTCAGTTCAACTGAGTTCAGTCAATGAGAACATGCCCTTAATTGACAAATTCAATAATAAAAATCCAAAAATGACTTATGACTTATGAGAAGAGAGAATAACGTTCAATATGCAATTTGACCTTCAACAAATCTAATAGTACATAAGTAGGCAGAAATTATTAGCACCAATTAAAAAATACTCGGCACATTAATTAAAATAAACGAAATTTTAAGCTACACCAAAAATAATTTACCTCCAATGGTTTCGATGACAGATTTACTACAATAGTCTAGCAATATAGGAAGGGCCGGGTTAATGGCCAAATTTATTTCACTATGACCAAATAATGGGTTCTATTTAATTTTGAGCAAAAATAAGATACATCAAGTACAAAAATTAAACACATATGAGCAATATTATTTAGTTCTATTATTCAATCCACAAAACTAGCTAAAAATTAATGGGTTCTTCCTTGCTCACTGACTCACTGGAATTAATAACCAAACGTTACAGTAAAATAAATGACGTGAACAATGATGGTTTTAAGTTCCATTTGAAGTTTTGATAAAAAAAATACAAAACATAAAATACAAAGACCAAACTCAAATGAGCATAGACATTTAGTTCAATAATCATTCAATAAAACCACCAAATTAGCCAAAAACTGGAATAAACCCATCAGGTACCAAATTAATTAGGCACTATCCCTTGTTCTAATTGAAGATTAGATAGATAATTGTTATGAAGAGTAAATCAAGCATAACCACTAAATGGAAATAAATTTAAACAATAAAGCTATTAAATTAGGCGAAAATTGGAATAAGTCTATCAGTTACCAAATTAAATTAGGCACTAATATTTGCTCCATACATCCTATTGAAGATTGATGATTATTATCAAGAGTAAATCAAGCAAAACAATTCGCAGTAAATGGATATAAGGCAGTGGAATCATTTCATATCAAGAAAAAGATAGAACACATGGAATGACACGTAATACACATGTGGCGCCTAATCATTTTGAGGAAAAGATGACACATAACAATTCCATGTTGTCCCTTTGAGTTTTAATTATAGGTAATTAATTAATTATAGATTGTTAAAGTACTTTGCATGGGCTGCCACATTTTCTTGATTCTGTTTATATACTACACGTCTAGACCAAAGAAAGCACATATCTATTTAACTTAATACCTATACTCCTAGTCCAAAAAAAAAAAAAAAAAAAAAAAAAACCTTGCTTATATATACTCCCCGCACACAAACCATAAACCATGGCATATTGGTCTGATCTCCCTTCGGAGCTCCTCGATCTCATTGCCACCGGCTTTGACACCCCATTCGACACTTGTCGTTTTCGTTCCGTCTGTTCCACATGGCGGTCCGCCATCCCTCAAACACTACCCATATTTTTTCCACCTATAAAATTCCTTAACTGTGACCTCCGACTCACCAAATACACATTTTGCCATCTTTCTGCCTCCTTTGATAACGACGATGGCCCCGGGTGGCTCATCAAGACCGAGGAGCACAACCCGGGGGCGGTCCATTTGTTCAACCCTTTCTCTAGGACCCTCATCAAACAGTTAGCTTCATATCTTCCTAGGAAGTTGGATCTAACCAACATTAAAATCAAGGATTTGGGTTGTGAGTATGTCTTACGTAACGTTAGTAATCCTAGTACAAAAAATATGGATTACTACAACATGGAGCAACAAAAGGTAGCTTTTACCTTCCTTAATAATTCTAATAATGTTAATGATGATTATGTTATTTTGTGTACACATAACACGGGTAAGCTACTCATGTACCAGTCCAAAATCAAATCATGGACGTTTTTGGATGATTACACTTTAGGTTATGATGATCGAAGCATATTTGTTAATGATTGGTCGTTAAATTACGTTGATGTAGTAGAGTTCGATGGTACATTTTATGCTATTACCAACTCGGGTAGGACTGTAGCCATTAAAGTTGTTGATTATTCCGTTACAGTAACATTGGTAAATATTGCTATTATTGGTGGCGATAAAAAATGTCTAGTAAAAGTATCTAATGATCTATTATTGATAGACCTGTATACCGATATTACTCCTAAAATAATAAAGGTACACGGGATTGAGATTTTCAAGCTCGATAAGGATAAACAAAAGTGGAATTTGGTTAAGAATTTAGAAGGGCATGCAATTTTTATGAGCAACCATTCTTCATTTCCCGCTATTGGTTTAAAAGGGTGCAAAGGTAATTGCATATACTTTCATTTTAAGAACTTAGACAATAAGGATTCATGTTATTCGGAGATTAAAGTGGGAGATTTGGATAAAATGGATGATTTTGAGTGGAAAAGTGATGAAGTTGGTGTTTTTGATTTTGAAAAAGGAATTTTTGGATTGTTGGAAGAATATTTGGATGATTCTCAGCTACTTTCTTGGCCTCCACCAAGCTGGGTTACTTTGGCTCGTGTGACATGAAGTCATTAATTTACGTTATTTAGAGTTTTTTACATGGACTTCGATGCAGAGCTAAGGTAGATGTATTCACTAATAATTTTTTTCCTCATTTTATAATTTTAAGTTGAGGATAAAAAGGGTATTTACAATTTAAAAAGGATAAAAAAGGGTATTTACAATTTAAAAAGGGTTTTTCTTTACTGTTACCGTACTTTTTTAGGTTTCAATAAATCTACACGAGTAGTGTAGATAGTCGTCATCTTCCTATGGTGGAATGTCTCCCTATGACGGAGTCGTTAGTTCTTATTAGTTCGTTGGTAAACATTTGTTCAGTATTGCAACGGTTGTCGAATTCTCAAATGCGTTCAAGCGAATCATATAATAATCATCCTTACGACTATAATAAATCGTTAAACCGTCTCTTCAAAAAGGCTGCGTTTTTCAGCGATGTGTGCGAGGGATGTACCACAATGCAAGATCTTTTCAATGATCATAGCTTTGATAAAGGAACCCTTTATTTGATTCAATTTTATGTATTTGTTAACTTAGATTTCATTTGTAGATGTCGTATGACTTTTTATTAATGAATTGATTTTGTTTAAAAAAAAAGATGAGGAAAAAAAAATCAAATAGTATCTTAACTACAAGGGTGCATCTAAAAATATCATTTATCAATCATTGTAAGGGTAGTTTGGTCTTTTGTGTTTATACATGTCATTTATCAATCATGCATTTAAAGAAAAAAAAAAAAAAAAAAAAAAGCCATTTTGAAGCAATTTTTCAAGATGTTGTGGCTGGCCCATACAACAAAATTCTGTTAAACCAACAGGGTCTGAGACTCTGAGGACCTTATTATGCATATTGGTTTATGCTCGAAATTCCAGATGGCCCAAAGTTGGAGTAAGCAATAAAAGACGCTAATCCTTCGCAGCCCATTTTTATTATTTTAGTTACAAAGGGAGTATGTTAAAACTTAAAAGGCTTTTGATGACATAATGCCTTGCGTTAGCATCTCCCATTTCTCAAATCTGTTTTCATATAAAAGGAATTACATCATATTTCCACTTTCCCAATAATCCCAGCCACCCCAAGTAATTGGAAGGACTTAAATTAGAGTGTACTATAATACTCTTTTTTATAAGTGTTCCTGTAAAAAAGGAATTTTATGTTTAGATGAAATACAAAACTCCATTAGATATTAATACAAATTGATCCCAAAATTAGAATACCATTCTCGAGTTCCCGAAAATACATCTTTTTTCGAATCTATTCCCTCCGTCCCAAGATATTTTCTCTATTAAAGCTTCACTACTAAACTTAGTTTCATTTTGCAAAATTAAAAATAAGACAAGAAAAGGAAAAGAATTTTAGGCCATTCTTTTGGCGCCTTAATTATATTAATTGTAAACATATAAGAACTACAAAATCCAACATTTTTAGTCATCCTCTTCCCAAACTTCATCATCTCTCTTGCAAATATATAGAACAATCGAACCAATTCTTCATTTTTGAACTCTTTCTCTCTCCTGAATCTTCTCCACCATCTTAGCAATGTCCCTCACCACCAAATTTCCAACTTTACCCTCATTCAATTGCTCTTGTTCTAACACAATCTCCAACAAATTCAACAACCCACCCCAAAAATCATCTCTTTCCACTCTAAAACCCCTAAATTTCTCCAATTTCTCTGTAAAAATTTCAAATCTAGGTCAAAAACCCATCTCAAAATTCACCTCATTTTGCAATTTAAATCCATACCCAGATGAAATTCATGGAATTTCCCCCATTTCAACATCTGGGGTTGTTTCTTCGAGGTTATCGAGGTTGGTTACCGAGTTCCGGTCTCTTCTGGAACCGATTGATAGGGTTAAGAGGCTTCTAGATTATGCTGCGGTTTTGCCTCGACTCGGTGAGTCGACTCGGTCGCCGGAGAACCGAGTTCCTGGTTGCGCCGCCCAAGTTTGGCTAGAAGTGGTGGTTGATGAGGTGGGGAGGATGAGATTTGGGGCTGATAGTGATTCGGAAATTACTAAAGGGTTTTGTTCTTGTCTCATTTTTCTGCTTGATGGTGCTTTTCCTGAGGATGTTTTAAAGGTATGATATAATATATCCTTGATTTTTCATTTATATTGTATTCTTTTGGTTTATCTATTGTTGAAATATTGTTATAACCAACGAAATGTTGTAAAACACTCCATTTTAATTTCATTTATGTTGAATTAACTATTTTTAGCTAGATTTTGGTAAATCAAATTAAGGGTTGATTTGAGGATATGGACGATTAGATAATTAATATCGATTTTATTAGAGATTAAACTATGGATAAAAGCACCGGAATTTTGCTATAATTAGTATTATTTAAGTAAATGGTTTCAAAAGGTATAATATCAAAAAGATAAATTAGTGGTGAAAGTGTCATAATTGACATATTTTCCTGTTTGTAGAGGAAAATGATATGTTGCCTGTAAATGATATGTTGCCTGATTGACGCATGATTTTGTCATGAGCTATAAATTTTGTTTTAGTGCATGATTGTTTGGTGGGGTTTAAAATTACTCATAAATCATAATTATGATTGACTAGCTTTTGCTTAGTAAATGTTTTAAGGTTTGCACCTTAATTATGGCCCTTGATTCAGGAATCACAGCACCAGAAAAGAAATAGTTTTTTTATGGGGTTGGGCTGATTACTGAATAATTTATGCTTGTTGGTTCTTGATTAAAGAAATAAGCTAAACGGTTTGGTGCATGTTGTGCGAACATATGCTTAGATTCTTTTAAGGATATCCTAACTGTCCTTTTACCTTTGTAAAAATGTTTTTCTTTTGACAATTGATACCCAACCTTGGGGTGGTGCGTAAGATTTGAGATCGAATTATGTTTGTTATTTAAAAAAACCTCTGTCAATTATGTATCAAATCCTGTGGCAAATTTCACATTTGCACAAGTTAAGACATCTTATTAACATGCCTAATCACAAAAAATAGGGGGAAAAGGCCTACTAAATATTTATGGTGATGTTTGTTTGTTGTTTGAAGGTGAAAGCAGAGGATTTGGCAGACATGAACGTTGGCCTCCCGGTTCGTTCGAGAGTAAATAGTTGGAATAATGTGTTGATCAGTATTCAGGAGAGAACTAAGAGTTTCCTTGTGGAGAAAGATCAGGAAGCATGCCAATTAGATTCATTGAATACTTTTCTTCCTATGGTTGTCCCTGCTGATAGTGTGGTTGCTAAAGGTAATCATTTCTGCAACTTATGTCTGTGAAAATATGGCATCTTGATATTTACGTTCCTGCCCTTTATCTTTCTTTGCGCTGCATCAATACACATACTGACATACCAAATGATCCAAAACTTTAAAGTTAAGTTTTAGAAGCCGCCTTTGTTTTGTTTGTTTCTGTGTAACTTGCTAATGTATGAATTTAAAGTAGCAACAATTATGATCCACTCCCTTTGTTGGAATTAATAATCACGTTATTTTGCAATGTCTGAAAACACACCTAAATGTAGTGGTGGAGGCGGCAGAGAGTAAATTGGTGTTTTTTTTTTTCTTGTTTCCAGACCGAGGGAGTAGTTGGTAATTTGGTATTGAATAGTTGACATGGATGTATTGGCTTGTACTATATAGTATATACTTAATCCCATACAAATTTGTTATCTGTGATTTAGTGTGCTGAAAATTGATATTCAAACTTTCGCAGTAAGCTGGTGAGAAATCACTATTGCTACTATTGTTTATTCATGGATGGTAATGGTTTAGTGTGATCACTTCAAAATTCCCACCAATGTTAATAGGAAATATAATTCTACATTAGTTTGAATCCTCAAAGTTAGGAAAGCTCAAGATAATGAATTAAAATGTTTTAAAAGAATACTAAATCCATGTCTTTCGGGAAAAACAAATGAATATGGGCGAAGCATACTGTAAGATAGGATTCTGCCTTGAAAAGAAGCTTTAGCCTTTAGGATGATACCACCGTACAGTGATTTAGGTTTGTATAGGATTAATTAATTAGTTATATCCGAGTCAGTGAAAGATTGGTTATTCAGCTTTCTTCTAGGCGTTGCTTGAGGAGCATTATTTAAACAAAGGCTTTCCAATTGTCAATTTTGCTTAGCTTTTTGACAAGCTTGTTATCCATGATTGTTTGACACTTTTTCATTGCTTAGTTGCTTATACTTCGTACTTGGCTGTTTAACTATTCGGAAGTTACTTCTTTTAAGGGCTAACATTAGATGATTAGTCCTAATAACCATAGACCATAGTAGATGTCAGCGGTCAGCCTAATGTTCTTTGGAAGATTTGGTTTCACAAAATGCGCTGTTAATCTTGAGTGGTTGGACTGATTCGATATTGAATGTTTATCTGCTTGACTAACAATGTTAATCCTTCGATGCTACATTTGTAAATAAGACAAATTAAATGCTTGAAACTGAATGTACCTGGTAACTTCAAGCCCTTGAAAGTCTATTTGCTGCGTTTTCACATGTCTCTAGAGTCTTGACTGCAATTTGTTGCCTTTTCTTGATTGCAGATGAATTTTGTGTTAATTGTTGATACTTGATAGTCTTAAAGATATCTGAAAGGGAGATTATGGTTCATTGCTGAGCTTTGTACAGATTGAGGCCTTAGAATTGGTCTCATGGAAGCTTCAGCTGATTTAAGTTGATTGTCTAGTTCCATGTAATTAGCCGTGATTAGTGTGATCTAATCAGTTTTGTATTAGCCTTGTTTTGGTCCTGTATTCTAGGTTTAGAAAAGATAACTACCTACTTTGCACCATTGGCATTTACTATGCTTCGAATCATTCACATAAACAAAAATGACAGGATGTTTGCACATAATTACATCTCTACATACACAGAATATGTTTGTATACTGCAGATGTTAAGGTTTAGATTCACAACACAAGTACTGTTATGAATGTAAATCATATACTTTGTATGAAGAATTTCAATGCAAATTAAGTTACTGAATATTATTGTGATGAAACTGGTATCTGAGTTCATTTGCTCAGGCTGCTCTGTATGAATTTATGCAGTGGATTGTAATTATTGCTCTGGAGTAGTTTCATATCGCATGTTATATTGGATGCATTTGTCATTCCTTCACCCCCTTCCGGGCTCTCCCCAACCCTAGCCTCCTAATCTGAGGCTACAAGAATACAAAGAATGATGTCAGATGGGCATGGACTCAAGTGTATGCAGCTAGACATAATACTCCCCGAAAAATAACCCTATACTCATTCTGAACTTCCCGCTTCAGAAACAGATCTTACTAACTGCTTGAATTATGTTCAAGTTTGCAGCTCTTCTTGCAATTGACTCCTTAGAGGGTACTTTTTTACCAGACATGTCCTCAATTCAAGTTTCAATGACGATTCCTTAGACTTCCACAATTCTCCCCAGCACTTTTGCTTTCTGTTGCAGCATCATAGCTCATATCCTAACAATTGGTGTTACATGTGCCATAGTTGATCTGTTTGGCTGACAGGTGCATAACAAAACTTCATCCGTATGTCTCTCTCCGTCTTCCTCCAGCTATAATATACCAACGGTCCATTTTTGCTCCTAATGACAGTAACAGCTGCAAAGTACATTAGTTGAGAAGTTTAATTTACTACACAATGTGATTCATCTATACAATGAGATCATGAGTCATGACAGCACCAACTATTGTTTCGTGACAACCCCTACCCAAACAAGATCACATAACTCAAATGTAGCTAAATGAACTAGTACTAGAGTGGGAACACGAACACTACTATCCCAACATGACTCCAAATCTCTGGTAGACTTGGGTAGTAGACAAAAGGGGCAATTTCCTCATATTCTTACTCGCCTAGTCGCCTAACACATTTCTATATTACGGTATTACCCTACCCTCACATGGTTCTAAACCCAATAGATAATAATTCAAATTAATTCGTCTCATCATTTACTGGGCACTTCATCATTAAACTATTTGATACTCATTATTGAACAAATAAGTGAAGTACAAAATAAAATCATTACCATTAGTCCATTACCGTAACTTCTGTAACGTTATATCAAAGCGGACACTCGATACACCAGGACTCAACAAATAAAAGAAAAGTCCATTTTAGGTAATGAAGTGGACAAGTGGTCTAGCGTTACACACAAGTACACAACACACGCCTCCAAGTATTGAAGCAAAGATATGTCGTTGACTTTATGGCAGTTGTGACCAACTGTCATCTTCTGTTTTGCGCGGTCCATATAGGCCTTGTTTGGTAAAGAGATTTTTGGAAAGCTTTTAGCTTATTGATTACTATTAGATGTTTGACCATTTTAAAAAGCTAATTTGGGTGTTTGGTAAATAACTTATTAAAAGAGCTTTTTTATTATAAAAATCTCTTTTTAGAAAAGCTCATTTTTAGAGCTTTTTGCAAATACCTAATTGGAAAATTAGTTTTTTGGGTATTTAATACACTGAAACAGCTAGTTATAAATAGATATTTACCAAACACTTTTATATAATCAGCTATTTACTATTATAGCTAGTCAAATAAGCTAATATAACCAGCTAGTCAAACCAGTTAATACAATCAGTTATATCAATCAGCTAGAAGCTAATCACCAAATAAGGCCAGTACCAATTGATGAATATAAGCTTCTAACTTTCTCAGATAGATGAGACATAATTATTAATTAATAAAAGCAACAAACATAATACGTTCTTATTAGAGTTCTCTCTCCAAACAGTTTTTGTATGTCATTGTATACTCAACATACATGACCGAGTTCTTACTTTCACAACCCCTAAATTAAATATTAAATTATTTTATAAGAACAAACATTATTGAAAGAGTTTTTCTTATAAAATAATTAACTGAAACATGGTGTCCAACCTAAAAGTTGCTCAAATGACGAAAGACTCAAAAGCCCATGAAAAAGCGAGACATGCTCGTAAAATGGCACAACCCTTAATATGTGTCATGCATTCACATATTATGTAGTCAAAGTGTTCGTGCCTTTTTCGGTTAAAGAACTTGGGAGCACGCTATGCTAGAGGGATATAAATACTCTCATCATATATTGATGGGACATGTTTCAATTCATTTAATTTATTGCATAATTTAAGGCATAGTTTCAAATGCTCTAACTTCTCTCTAGTTTTCTCTTACTCTCTTAGCTCTACATTTGCCTTCTTAGTGACTAATTTGATTATCGGAGATGAATATTTTGGTGATTGGAATATTCGTTATTTTTGCAGGTGACCATTGGCATGAGTTACAACACAATGTTGTTGATTCTCGAGGGATACAAAAAACTTAAAAACGAACACCTTTCCCAATGCATCCTTTATAACAATGCCAAACCCAACATAGCCCCCAAACATATTGTGGGCGTCTGGAGGAATTTATACCCTAGTTAATTGAATACAATTTTGGTTGAGAAAGTTAGAAAATTTATTATGAAAATTGTTTAAAATAAGTAATTCTTACGTCCCCAAAATATTAGCTCATTATATACCTTTTTCCTCAGTTTATTAAAAGTTGTATTGAGTGAGTAAATTACATATGAAATTTTTTGCATTTGGATTGATGAATGAATTAGTAAGAGAAGAAGAGGGCCATAGTAAAACAAATGAAAAATGAGATAGTAATTATTTAAGAACAACCTAAAAGTACGTAAATGGTGTAATCTTAAAAACAATGGGGGTAACCAACACTTCAGATTTGTTTTTAAATAAAGACACCAGATATATGAAGTCAATGTCACATGTTGAGCACAATTGGACACCCTATATATGTTTTCGAATCGAGTTAATATCAAATCGAGTCAATTTTGAGAACAATTTGAATATAAGTTGAATCATAATTTTAGGTTGTTTTGCGGGCATTAATTAGAGATTCGAGAACAATGTTTAGCTTTCCACTTTAAAAATCTTCCAACATTGTTAGGTAAAACATACTATATCAAAAATCTATTTTTATTTGAAATATAATTCTTTTTTATAATATTCTTTAGGAAAAATGGAAAAGAAAAATCCAACCTTTGCACTTTTTTCTCCTAAAATCCAACCTTCATTTTATTCCTCAAAAATCCAACCTTTATACCCGACCTTCTCCAACAGATCCATTTGACCTTTAACCTGCTAAACAAGTAAAAAAGATTTTTTTTTTTTTTAATTCTCTCAATTTCCTTTCTCTCTCCTCTCTCCTCAAAAATGGAAACAACCCAACAATCCACCAATGACACCGCCAGCACACCACCAACACCAACACCAGTTAATCACCGTACCACCAGAACACCGCTAGTACACCACCAACACTAGTCTCTCTCCTCTTCTCTTTCTCCTGCTTTGTTTCACCCAATTTCCCAAATATCTCTCCTTTCTTCTTCCTCCTCCCCCCATTAATCCAAACCCCAGGTTGAAGGAGGAAGATCACCATTAATGGCGGGGGCTTCTAGAAGGTTATGAGACCTTCAATCACAAACAGGGAACAAAACTTGTGTTGATTGTTCCCATAAAAACCCATTATGAGCATTTGTTTCTTACGGGATTTTCATGTGTTTGGAGTGTTATGGGAAGCATCGAGGTCTCGGTGTTCATATTAGTTTTGTCAGATTTGTTACCATGGATTCATGGTCTGAGATCCAGCTTAAGAAGATGGAGGTTTGTGGTAATGATAAGCTTAATATGTTCTTACAATACCACCACCCCAAACAACTGCACCAACACCACCACCCGTAACCACCGATGGTTAGATAAGAGAGAAGAAAGAGAAGCAATGTTTGGGTTCGGGGTGGGTTGTCAGAGGTGTTCTGGTCAGACTTTCAAGGGAGATGGACGTCGCCAGCGATTGGGGGACGACTGGGCGCGGACATGGGAGCTGTGCCGTGCGCCGGCAACGAAGGGGAAGGGGGAAAAGGTGGCTGGCTGGTGGAGGGTGGTGTTTGGCTGGTTTTCTGTTTTTTTTATTATTATTATTATTATTATTAACAATTAAAATTTTAATTGACCTATTAATAGCTAACACGTGGCATATGACTTAAAAAAACCGGTCATCAACAGGTAATAGATCTGTCGGAGAAGGTGGGGTATAAAAGTTGGATTTTTGAGGAATAAATTGAAGGTTGGATTTTTAGGAGAAAAAAGTGCAAAGATTGGATTTTTCTTTTCCATTTTTCCTATTCTTTAATACCTTTCTTAAAATATATATCCCGTGCAATTTGTACGGGTACACTCTAGTAGTAGAAATAATGGAGGATTGCTGCCACTTAGATACACAATATATGGGCATAAGGTGTGACAATTGACACCTACAGTGCTAAGTGTTATAATCTATACGAGTGTTACCGACTTACCGAGAATGATCCGATAAATTTTAGAAATGCAAGTTCATAGATGGCTTGATTGCCATAATTAAACCCTTATTATACAAACGATTTATCACATATTTATAATGAGATAAAAACACCCAATGTCGATCCTACAAGTAATTATAACACTTGTATCTTACAAGCCCCTGAGGCACAATGAAGTTTTGATCAAAATCTAAAGGCATCTCCTTAGATGGTTCCAAGCTGCTCTAGTCCATCAGAATGCTTACTCTTGAATATATTGCAATAAGGTTTCATCTATGAAGGGGAAGGCCTCTCCTAGCCATCTCATTGAAGAAAGAGTAAGGAAGGTCATGAGGTCTAAAACAACAAAAGGATACAAGTTAGATGTATAAAAACGAAAAAAAGAAATAGTTATGAAAAACTTTCACCAAAAATATAAATAAATTACCCAGTGGTCAGCATCCTGGCAATATAAGTGAAAGGCACCCAAAGACCTTTCAAGGTCTTAACTGAACAAGGAGTCCACACCACCTTGTTACTCTTAGAATTGTAGCCGATTGGCTTTACTACCCCAATTGGTATCAAATCAGCTTTATTTCCACAAACAATAGTTGGGATTTCTTTCCCATATTTGCATTCAAATTTTAACACAAATAATCCAAAATTACTAGGAAAAACGATAGAAAATAATAAAACTTAAAAATCAACAATAGGGAATGTGTTGATTTCATAACATATGAGTATACACAACTTTTAAATAATTCAATCCAGTCATCAACAGGCTTCATACTGGATTCGTCAGTAATATCACACATGATGATAGCACAATCCATATTAATACAGTCCCTCTCTTTGCTGCATCAACCAAATTTGAGGTTTATTAGAAAACAATAAACATTGAAAGGACAAGGAAAGCTAATCGGTCCAAATAATTAAAACTTACAAAAATTTGTCATTGAATCCCTCCGTCATCGGATACTCGTAGCACTGAAGCCTAATTCTTTTGCGTTCTGGAAGACGAGATGTTCTGAACTTGAATGTTTGAACAGCAGGTTCGGTTGTCGCTAAATAGGAAACACAATTCATTAACAAAACCATACATTGTAATGGATTAACTATTTTACTCAATAATATGAAGAGACTGGATGATTGAAAGGTTACAAGGTAGTAGCTTGAGGCTACAAAAACATTCACTCATAGTCAAATCCTTTCCATCCAAACTCACCACTTCATTGTTTGTCCCCCTCTGAGTACCAAAACGACAAACCAAATATTAAGTCTTATTCCGACTTAGCTTAAAGTCTCTAGATTCCAACCATTGCCTCCATTGGTTGGAATCTAGAGGGTTTAAGCTAAGTCGGAGTAAGACTGAATATTTGGTACTCAGTCGGAGTAAGACTGAATCTACTTACATTCTCATTCTTGATTATTAATTTCTGAGATACCTAATTCATAGCATTGGTGTTGATTCATAAGTAATGACATGACATCTATCAATTCAACAGCTTAATATAACCATCTCCGTTGATTCCTTAAACAGGAACTTGTACTATTAAGTTGTTTTCTAAGACAATTTGAAGTATTAAATGAAAGAAGTATTACAAGAAACATATTTTCTGAAATCAAGAGCTTGGTTGCACAAAAACATAAAATCTGGTTTACGATAATGAATCAAAAGGATTGAAATCAAATGTGTCACAGTTAAGGGGTGATGGAAGTGTGCAACTAGATAGAAAGACACTTAGCATAAGGGATAGTTGGACAACAAAGCAAAGCGAAGAAGAAATTATGATATGATGGAAGAGACTAATTATAAAGTATCCTAACAGGTTTGAGAGAATTGCGTTCCGTCAAATCCAATCAAATGCGTCACAGACAATGGCATTACACAGGAAAGAGAAACGAGTATAATAATTCTTAGTTGAGCAATAACACCATAAACACAGATAGATATCAAAGTAGCTAAAACAGAAAAGCTCCAAGCAGTAAACTTTACATTCTAATCCCATGTTAGATAAATACACTCACGTTCATAATCTTCATTGAAGCCCTGACAAAGAAGCCTCTTCATAAAACTAGTTTTTCCTGCAAAATAAAATAAAAAAAATCATCAAAAGACAATTTTAACAAAAATGAAAAGCAAGGAATTTGGGATTTGGGATTCTTACCAGTTCCAGGATTACCAATTATGAGACACTTGAACGTTCTAGTCTTCCAATGAATGATTACTCGATTCTTAGGTATCTTTGCTTGATTCGGTCGACACTTGTTTGCTTGATTAGGTTCACAAGACATGGTTGATTCACAGATTCTGATCAACATAAGAAATTGAAAAGAAAAATTTGTTAAACAGGGTTGTGCAATACATTAGCAACCAAATTAGATCAAATTATCAAACAAGGCTCGAATTATCACATGATTATGGGGATATTTGATTCAATTATCAACAATTTTCTTTTCTAGCAACGCAATCGCTCTTTCATAATCTTAGTAATTAAAACCAATAGTTGAGATTTTCGAACCCTAAACTTAGGGCACTGACAATTAAATTTAATTAAATAAAACCTAGATTGTGAAATTGATATGAGGATTATAAAGAGAAACAGCGACTTACCTCAGAAGCTGCTTCAATGGAGGATACAAGTTTTCTCGATAAAAACGTTGAGTGCGCTTCAATGGAGAACTGACAGGAAGATTGTTTTTTTTTTTTCCTCCCTCTTCTAATTGACAATCAAAGAAGTTCAATGGTTAGAGACAATAAAAGCCCTGACCCGCCCCACTTATATAAATGGGCCAGATTTAGACTTAGTTATTGGACAAAGTAGCCCAATAATAAAAGGGTTCATAGCCTTCACATATTTGACTTTTTAGATTAGAATAATTCATGCGAGTCATGCTCATAAGCTCATTCATTCTTATGTATTTGGCCTTGTTTTCATCGACTTAAAAAAATAAAATTAAGCAAAATTAATTTCAGTTCAATAAAAATAAGTTCAGTTCAATAAAATTAATTTTTGTTCAGTAAAAATAAATTCAGTTCAGTTCAGTAAAATTTTGTTTTCTTAAGGAAGAATTATAATTGAAAATCAGTAAAAATTTAGTAAAATTAATTTAAGTTCAGCAAATATAATTTTATTTCAGTAAAAATAATTACAGTTCAGCAAAAATAAAGTGAAGAGAGCGGGGCCTTACTTAGGGATGTCAATGGGTCAAGGACCTAACCTAGATTCGATTAGACCCATCCCATATTTTAGGGTTTGGGTCCTAAATGGATCTGGATCTAAGTGCAATGAGTCCGGGTTGCAAAGTCCAGACCCAAATGCGACCCATAGATATTTTTTTTATGAAAAAATTACATACATCATAAGTTTTCTAATCTAAAGAATCAAATGAAAGAAAAACCTAAAGAACCTAACTTTAAACTACATGTTCCACTCCTCTAAGGGCTCCAAGTCAAACGGCTCCTACTCTCGTCAAGTAGATTGTCGTGTGTTTAGTAAAACATTTTTATAGCATTTATTACAAAAATACTAAAAAACATACTTTCTCCGATTCTATTTACTTGACTGATATTCCTTAAATGGAAATGTCATATTACTTGACCCATACTATATGTGGTATGTCTTTGGTGGATAAATTCTCTAATTTACCCTCAAAAAGTGCACATGATTGCAACTTTTAGGGGTAATAAGGTAAGACATGTGCAACATGAGCCAAAAAACTGCAATTTCTCTCTCATGTGCCCAAGGCAATGGGTCAAGTAAATGAAAACGGAGAAAGTATATTAGTAATAAACAAGTACGGAGAGAGACGGGTTTCCTTGTCTCAGACCTCATCTTGGAGTAACATCCCCACATACAAAACCATTAATGATGAAAGAATATGAGACCGTTGAAACACAACTCATCACCACTTGAACCCAACAAACACCGGAGAAGTTTTTATGGGAAAAAGCCACTTTACTTTTATCGTACGCTTTGTTCATATCTAGCTTGAGAGCAATGGTATCTTACGCCCCGTACTCCTCTTTACATAGAGTGGAAGAGTTCTAGAGCAATAAGAGCATTATTGTTCCTGAGAGAGACTTATTAAATCCACTAATATTATCATTTAAAAAGAGGTTGTTAAAATACCACCATCAATCTCTAGTTAACGCTTGCAAAATAAAATATGTTTTACAAATTTACCCCTCATATAAACAAAAAATATTTACTATCATAAACATCTTTTTTACCCACACTCACTTCCTCTTTTCTCTCTTAAAAAATTGTCTATCTCTAAAGCACCACAAACACCACCACCACCTCCATTTACCACCACAAAAACTCCTTCTACTAAATCTACATAATTTTTGCGCGAAAATGCCAACGGACAAAGGTAAGGCCATCATCGGAGACAATCCAAGGTTCAAAATTTTTTTTTCTCCTTGTATGAGCTAAAACGCACTTTTCTTTTGAAACATCAAGGCGGAAACGGGTAGTTATTTCGAACCATCGTCTTCTGGACGGTAATGGTGAAACGCTCAGAAACTTTGAACACCTAGGCGCGCGGTGATTCAAAAAAGTTAGGTGTTTCTACCTAGATCTATCGAAAAATTTGGATCATTTCAGATAAACTAATTAAAATATATTAGAGGACACAATTATTCCCATAAACCTGATATCTTTGGACCTTAAAAGTATGTGATCTGATGGTTTGTATTTGATTTCTGCAGGCGAGTTCGACCTCCTATTACTAAAAATCTTCTCGTTGCAATTTAGCCAATTTTCTTCCTTGGGCTTATTGAGTATGAGAAGATAATGCTGGTTTTGTTGTTGAGCAATTGATTATTAGATGAGGTGCTATGTTAATTGAAAATCAACTTTAAGTTGAGATTTTTCTTCATTAGTTTTACCGTGTACTTGACTAGGATTTTCGGAAACCAACTTTAAGATGAGGTTATATTAATTAATTTTACAACAAGGATAAGTACGTAATTTATCAAATCATTACATATCATGAGTTCTTAAACCATTTTAGTCTAAGCTTTTGAATATATGTATACTTTTTTTTTTTTTTTTGATGAAATTGTTATTACTATTTTTTTCTTTTTGAATTTTCTTATTATAATTATTCATTTTTTGTTGGTATTTTAACACTTTTCACCAAAGCAAAAATCACCTTTTGTTCTTGTAAAAAAAAAAATCACCTTTTGTTGCCTTGTTGGCCTCTACCCCCAAATCGGGGCCTCAATCCTTCAATCGGAGCCCTAGTCCTAGCTATATATCACTAGCAAAAAAGAAAGGAAGACTTAAAAAAAAAAAAATTCGAAATTCCAAAATTCAGACATTACAAATTACAATTACCAAAATCTATAACTAATACTAAAGTAGCAACCGCTGATGTCATCTTTTTTCAAAGTTGTATACGTGGCGCTATCTCATGAAAAGATTTCCCGCTCAATTAATTTTTGCTTTTTTTTAAACAAAATGCTATTTAATTTTAAATAGGTAATAACTACTTCCTCCGTTTTCTTTTAGATGCAACACACCCTTTAACACGGTAATTAAGAAAGGTGGGGTTTACATGATATAATAAACTTTAAAATAGAATGAGTAGTTGTTAGGATTGTAATTTAATGGGTCATGTGCTTTAAATAAAGGATATAACATAGTTTTCCCTAAAGGAACTTTCCTTTTATAGTGTGTTGCAAGTATTGTGACAAGTCCTTTTTAGGGAAGTGTTGCAAGTAAAAGAAAACGGAGGAAGTATTTTTTAGGTAATTAATTTTAAATAGGTACCTATTATTTTGGTAATTTAGGTTGATAGTAGGTAGTTGGAGTTTTTATAGGAGTTATTAGCATTTTTTTTTTAAATTTTGACAACAAAAAATTAACATTGATTAATAAAATAATAAGCGTTATTAGCATAATTGAGGTCAATTAAAGTGAGCTTATAAACATTTTGCGCTCAAAAAAACAAATGTGAAAACAAAAATCCAAAGTTAAATTTTTGTGAAACCCGTGCATTGCACGGGTGCTAACCTAGTAAGCTCAATCAAACCAAAACCACCAAATATTCCTCCATTAAAATTTAAAATTAAAATTAAAACTAAAATTAAAATTAAAATAAAAAAAATCCCAGATCAAAAAAATTCCTTTCTATTTTCCACACTTTACCCTTGTTCAACCTATCATTTTCTCAAACACCCATCTTCTTTCTTCTTCTTCCTTTTTTCTTCTGAAACCAGATCTTTCCAAATTAGGTTAGATAATTTCCGCCATTTTTGCCGATGTCGAAACCTTGGGGTGGTATCGGCTCTTGGGCCGCCGAAGCCGAGCGTGAAGAAGCCGAGGAGAGAGAAAATGCCACCACAACCGCCGCCGCAGCAAACACCCAAAGCTTCCCTTCTCTCAAAGAAGCCATTACTGCCAAACCCAAGAAGAAGAAGATGACCCTTTCCGAGTTCGCTTCTTACGGGTCTAAATCCGGACCCGTTTCTTCCGGATCCACCCGTTTAACCCCTGACGAAATGCTCCAGTTACCCACTGCTCCCAAGCCTCGTTCTGGGGACGAACCTTCTGGACCTCGTCTTGGAGGTGGCTTTTCTAGCTATGGTGATGATCGAAGAGGATCCCAACGTCGCGGGTTTGATGAAGATAGGAGGCAAAATAGGAGGGAATTCGATTCGATGCCTCCTCCTCCTTCTAGGGCTGATGAAGTTGATAATTGGGCTTCTATGAAGAAACCCATTTCAATGGCGGATAGTGGGAGAGGTGGTGGTGGAGGTAGTGGCGGTGGTGGTTCGAGGTATGGTGCTTTGGGTGGTGGGTCTAGGGCTGATGAGGTTGACAATTGGAGTTTTGGGAAGAAACCGCAATCGTCGGGGTTGAGTATGGGAGGTGGGAGATCGAGTACATTTGGGTCAGGGTTTCGTGATTCGGGTTCGGATTGGAGGAGGGGAGGTGGGGAGAGGGAATTGGGTGGTGGGGAGAGAGAATTGGGGAGGACTAGATTGGTGTTGGATCCTCCTACAGGGAGGAATGGTGAGAATGTGGTGAAGACGACAACACCAGCATCAACGGAGAGTAAGTCCAATCCGTTCGGGGCGGCGAGGCCGAGGGAGGAGGTGTTGGCTGAGAAGGGGTTGGATTGGAAGAAATTGGATTCAGAGATTGAGGCTAAGAAGGTTGTTGCTAGTGGGAGTAGGCCTACTAGCTCGCAGGGAAGTCGGCCTACTAGCTCGCAGAGTAACCGTGGGACGGAGAGTTTAGGTGGTGGTGTGGTTGGGGAGATTAAGCCTAAGCCTAAGGTGAATCCCTTTGGTGATGCTAAGCCTAGGGAGCTTTTGTTGGAACAAAAAGGTTTGGATTGGAAGAAGATTGATCTTGAGTTAGAGCGTCGTCGAATTGATAGGTTTGTTTCTGTTTTTGATATTGGTTTTGTGTTAATGATATTGCTTTGTTCTATTATAAGCTTTTTAGGAAAGAGTAATGGTTTATTTGTATGCATGAATGCATTCCTAACTTGCTATTATGTGTTTGAAGTTTATTCATAGTAGCTTTGCTTGATTATTTTGGGAATAGTTAGCTAAGTTTGCTCTATATGTGCTTTGTGCTTCATTGCTTGAGAGTGTCAGCTACTGAGATATTGACTAGGAATTGGGTATTTTGAAACAAATGGAGAGAATGTGGGATTGTGGGGTTCTGTATCGACGACATTACTCATTTTAGGTTTTCTGTAGTGGCTTCTTGATAGATTTGTAACAGTGAACGTTGTCGATATGAACTTGTTAAGGCTTTGATCAAAGTTGGAACCTTTGTTATTAGGTTGTTGTAGACTGGAATAAAGTTGGGCTTTATCAACTTTTTTGGTTCAGGGATGAGCAATTCTAGGTTTTTGCCTAAATTTAAAGGCTTTTATTTGATCAATGATCATCCTGTCTTGTAAACGGTGATACTGATATTATTTGTATTTAATATTGTGATCTCTTGTAAGTTGTAAGGGTGTTGTTACTAGAGCTATTCATTTTGTTAAGGGGATCTAAATTATGGTGCTGGTTTTAGAATCTTCTGTGCATGTTGCAATGCCTTTTATTGTTAACATTGACTTCCATCTTTCAGCATTTGGCTCTCTCTGTGCTCTTATCCACCTTTCATTGTCTTTATTATAGTGCAATTGACTTATAGTACTGTAATTGCTACTGGTTGCTATAATTTATTAAGTGTGACCTTGGGAGGTAGATTGCAGCAGTTTAATTGTGTGTATGATGGTTGAAGCTTATGTATAATACACTCCAACTCTTCTGGCTGGGTGCCAAACATAGTTTCTGAATCACAACTTAGCATATTATAGTTAGCCTATGTGGTGTATCTGGTTCTTCATTCTTGTAAGAAAGGATATTTATTACTTAAAAAGTAACTTGAAAGCCTTTGTCCTCAGTTTGTGTTATTTTCAACCTACCTAGGAGGCTATGACCTACATCTTCAGAAGCTCGTTTCTGAGCTTCAGTACTTAGTAGCTAAATTATTTCTTTGAGGGGAACGATTTTGTTCTCATTCATTTTAGGTGTAAATAAGGATGGGTCTATTGATCAACATGTTTGATGGATGTTTTTTCAGTTTTGTTAATTATTCTGAAGTTATACCATTTTCATTTCTGTGCGATGGCCTGTTCAGTTTTTGGGGTTGATGGTCTTGGTAGGGTATATTCTTGAAGTTTTATATAGTGTGAGAGGGAGCATCATACTTTGTTTTGGATCTTTCCCCTGGATTTGTTTGTAGAGCACTCAGTCTTGTAATTAAGTCTTTTGAAGGCTTATATCAAGCATTTAAGCTCTTGACCAGGTGTTCCATGCGTAGGAAGTAGGAACAGGGAAAAGACAGCTCATGACATTAGATGTTACTTGTTGGCAGCTATTGCTATATGAAGAAAGAGCTGTTTGACGGCACCAATGAAGTTTAGGAGATTTGCTTTTATTTGCTTTGGTGGAAATGTGGAATGTTCCTCAATTTGTAAGCTGTGTTATAATAGAGAAAATTATTCTTTGATGGATGGTTCACCTGTCAAATGGGAATGGTTCAGTACTCCCCATTTTCTATGACAAATAAAAAGAGACAAGGAAGAACGGGTATATATGAAGGCTAGTCATTGTAAGCTTGAAGACGAGCGTAAAACATTAAAATTTTGAGAGCATCTGCTTTTTATTTATTGGATTTCTTATGATGATATGTTGCAACTCGTGAATCTTTTGTTTTCATGTTAGTAGTTATTGAGGTGTGAAAAACCTATGAAGTATGTGGCAAGTTTTCCCCATTTGCGTGTGTATTTAAGCCATAGTGATTTCTGTGAGCTACGTCAGATTGAGCTTGTTTATGAGCTTCAGTACTTCGGAGCTAAATTATTTTTTTGAGGGGAGCTGTTTTGTTATCATTCATTGTAGGTGGAACAAAGGATGGGTCTATTGATCAACTTGTTTGATGGATTTTTTTTCAGTTTTTTATGTTACTCGGACTCTTTATTTCACCTCACGTACCTGTGTCGGACCCTCGACACTCGGACATGGGTATGACACTGGACACTTTATTTTTAGTTCAAAATCATACATTTTTTCTTTTCTCAAAATGGCCTAGTCAGACGCTTTGACACTTACCCGTGTTGGACTTGGGTACCCGAGTCCAAGTAACATAAAAATATTCAGAAGAATTTATACCATTTCATTTAAGTGAGATGGCCTGTTTAGTTTTTGGGGTTAATGGTCTTGGTAGGGTATGTTCTTGAAGTTCTATATAGTGTGAGTGGGAGCATCATACTTTGGTTTGGATCTTTCCTCTGGATTAGTTTGTATAGCAGTCCGTCTTTTAAGTAGGTCTTACGAAGGCTTATATTAAGCACTTGAGCAGGTGCTCCATGGGTAGGAATAGGGTAAATATTGCTCATGACATTAGATGTTAATTGTTGGCAGCTATAGCTATATGAAGAGAGAGCTGTTTGACGGTACGAATGAAGTCTAAGAGATTTGCTATAATTTCTCTGGTGGAAATGTGGAATGTTCCTCAATTTGTAAGTTTTAATAGAGAAATTTATACTTAGATGGATGGTTCTTATTTTAATAGAGAAATTTATACTTAGATGAATGTTCTTATTTTAATAGAGAAATTTATACTTAGATGGATGGTTCACCTGTCAAATGGGAATGGTTCAGCAGACCCCATTTTCTAGGAGATATTAAAATGGGCAATGAAGGGTATATTTGAAGGTTAGTCATTGTAAGCCTGAAGACAAGATCATAAAACATTAAAATCTTGAGAGCATCTGTTTTTTTATTTGTTGGCTTTCTTACAATGATATGTTGCAACTCATGAATCATTTGTTTTCATGTTAGTAGATATTGAGGTGTGAAAACACTGTGAAATTTGTGGCAAGTTTTATTTTCCCCTTGTGAGTGTATTTAAACCAGAGTGATATTTTATGCCCGACTAGTTTCAATCTTGGAAAGTTGTTTGTTATTACTCTTTGCTGATGTAAATGTAGTTTGGAATGCTAGCATATTTATCTGTTTGAATTTAAAGATTATGATGAAAGTTCATATTATTTTACTTTGGCTTGAGGATATTATTGGTAACATTTGAAATAATGGGAATAGATTCCCTGTGGCCGATCATTCTATGAATGTTATTTGTATAATGTTTAGATGGTTCTGTGCCTTTTCTTCTTTTAATTACTTTGGCAGGATCACATGCTCGTTGAACTTAAAATGTGTTTGTGACTTTTCAGCTCATGTTGCGCATTTTAAAATTGTTATAGGCCTGAGACAGAGGAAGAGAAGGCTTTGAAGGAAGAAATTGAGAATCTAAAGAAAGAACTTGAGAAAGAACCTGATAATGATGCTCCCCAAGAAACTGAAGGTGAACAGACTAGTTTACGTGATCTTATAAAGAGCAAAGAGAGTGAATTGGAAATCCTGACAAGAGAATTGGATGACAAAGTCCGATTTGGTCAGAAAGCGGTGGAAAGGCCAGGCTCTAGGCATGGTTCTAGACCAGGTTCTGGAGCTGGGAGATTTACTAGTTATCCAGAGAGACCTCCTTCTCAGTCTGGATCTTTTGATAATGGTCGGGTTCCAGAAGTGATGGACAGGCCCCGGTCACGTGGAACAGGAGATGTATGGACAAGGCCTGGTGAAGATAGAAGAGGAGGTTTCCAAGGTGGCAGAGATAGAGGAGGATTCCTGGGCAATAGAGACTTTGACAGGTAATATTATCTTGGAATTGTCAGTAACACCCTATGATCGTATAATGTCTGGTGAATTTAGATGCCTCTTTTCTGTTGATTTTCTATCTCTTTAAATGCTTTTCATGGGATTTTGCTTATGCTTTAAATGTTTTTCTTTATGCTTGTAAAATAAGTGGGTTCTGAAGGAACCTACTTTGCCCCCCTGATATGACTGATTTTCTTTCCATAAATATGTGTTTTTGAGGTAATTGTGTGCATGTTGCTCTTTTAATTAGCTTGCAATTATTAGTTGAGATATCAAGTGAGATGCCTCGCTGCTGTTGGTTGTCTCTCTTGGTATGATTCAGGCCAACCTACCCTAATTGCTTTTGAAACAAAACATGTTGACCTTGCTTTTTAAACCTTTTCAATTGAATAACTCATAAAATTATATTTGCACATTTCTGTGCGGTACCTGAAATCTCGTGGTTAGATTCAGGCTGGCCTATCCCAATTGCACAACAAGCATAAGACAACAATTAGCTAGGAATTTGACACACTGGAACTTGCTTGTACTAAAACATATGCACTAGTACAAGGGTAGACCTATGAAGGGACTTGCTGCTTTCTTACACTGGGGAAACTATCAGCTTGCAACCTGGTGCTGACTTACTTTTAGCAAATGTTAGGGTACGTTTAAATTTTGCAAGAAGCAATTTTATCTCATCTGGCTGCTGGTACCTTCTAGCTTACGCCTAACGATCACATTGCCTCATTCCGAATAGCAGTGACCTTGCGCCGATTGAAAAAGCACTGTTTTCTATCAGGTCATGCACGGAACAAAAGTCTTGGCTTTCCTTGGAATAATCCTATGCTGCCCTACAATGTATGCCTCGTATGAGCTCTTCCATGTTCTGGTATTTTAGAGGCTGTACTAGCACCTATCAAAAACTTGATTGAAAAAGCTTTAATTGCCTTTTTAATAAGATACTTGCTCATTTATTATTCAAAGCTGCAGTTCTCTTCTAGATTTTCCTGTTAGAGTATGATGAGCAAATCCTGAGGGGCCATTTCTTAACATTTGTGAGGGAGTTAGATGTTTATTTGCCATGTGCGTGTCGTTGTTCTTTTTTTTGGGGGGGGGGGGGGGTGACTGTGTGAGGAGTCTCAGGCTCTTCATCATTTATGGTTTACATGGCTTGTCAGTGGAAATATTTCACTGTCCCTTATACAAAACACTGTAAACTCTTTGGTTTTAGGATTTTAGGTTATGATAGATTAAATAAAAACTATCGTCTGCGTTCTGTTCTAAAGGTCAACGTTGATTTATTCACAGTAATGGTTACTGATTGCTCACTTGGGTGAGCATGATCAAGAATGTTTTAGCTGTTGTTTTGTGTTGTCTTTTTTTCCTAATTCATTGTGATTATATAGACTCTGGAGGCTGATATGCATTGATTTTTTCTTTTGTCAGGTCTACGTCTAGAGAGAGATGGTGAATCAATTTTTTTTTGGGGTTTCAAGACACTCAGTGTGGATTCTTCAGAGCTCTCCTTTGACAGCATTCGGCAAGCAATGGATAATAATATTTTGTTTAAATTTGTTCAGGTCTTTGTCAAATTATTCTACGGCTTAGCACTGGCGCTGATGACCTTGTTAATTAACTGTTAATTTTGATACCTTGTAAAATTGCCATTTTTTTTTGGTCTGTATCGAGGCAAGGATCTTGTGTTGTTCGTAGACTGACATGTAATGGAACATTATGTTATATTCTTCTGGTCTTTTCCTTAAAGACTGTTTTAGGCTTCATTGGCCTTTTTTTTTTTTTTTAATTCATACGTGAATTTTGAGGTGGTGTTAAGTTGTTTGAATGGCATCATTGACTGAACTTGTACATAGTATAGTTAGATTGTAAAATGTAATCGTTTTGGTTGTGTAGGAGTCTTTTTACTTATTTTTGTTGAATTTCAAAATGTGTTAATGTACATCAGTACATAACAGGAATTTGCATGGATTTTGTATCCCCCATCCCCCTGTTGTAAATACGCGTATTTTTTTTCCAGTTTCTGCAATTTTAAGTTAAATTTTCTTTAATCTAACAACAGACGGAGACATCTCCCCCTATCTCTTCCTCCCCTTCTCCGGCCGTCGCAATCCACTAGCACCGGCAGTCTATATATGTAAAAAGGAGTGGATTTGGGTTAGGTCTGATGTGGTCGTGGTGGGTCTGGCAGTTTTTTTTTTTCTAAAATTAGGACCACATTTTCTCTTTTTTTTTGTGGTCTAGAGAGGGCTTATGGTGAAAAAAAAAATACTTTGATCACTATAGAAACGTCCTAGTTTCTGTCTTTGTCAAAAGGCATAAGATTGAACAGCCATCGAATTTTATATGTTTTATCTTATGGAAAACGTGTATTATGCTTTTGACCTTTTTAACACTATGTTTTGAATCTGAAGTTTTTTCATCTGGATAGATTACTTCCATCTAGTTCATCTCTGAGTACTACTTATTTGTTGAAACAATGAATCGGTGTAATTTTGTTACCGGAAGTTGCCTATTTGTGTTGGCTTTGGGTTTAGTTTTAAATGGTGTACCACCCCTTGCACCTCCAAGTAAAGAATGTCGAATTCCTGCAATTTACAACTTTGGTGACTCGAATTCTGATACCGGTTCCAACTCTGCTGCATTTGGTCGCGAATCTTGCCCAAACGGAATTACTTTCTTTGGCAGACCTGCTGGAAGAGTCTGTGATGGGCGCTTAATCATTGATTTTATTGGTTAGTTTCTTTGACACAGTTGACTCGTATGTATATTTAAGTACCTATTATGAACACTAACTAACAAGGTTTACTTCAATTGTTCACCAAGACTAAGGTGTGTGTGTTATGTGCTCAACATTCTATATGTTTTTTGGGTCCTTGAGTCCAAAACTGTGAGCTGTGAATCTCCGTGTGTTTGACACAACTCGTTCCTATCACTGAGTAACATAGTAAATGGAACATGAGCAAAAAGTTCAAAATAATTTTAGCTTCTTTATGTGCAACTCTATTCTACCATTTTGATATTTGCAGCTGAGAAGTCGAAAATACCTCATTTGAGTGCATATCTGGATGCAATTGAGGCCAATTTTGAGCACGGGGCTAATTTTGCTGCGTATGGGGCTACAATTCAGCCAGCTGACAGCAAACTCTACGGAAGTGGTGCTAACCCTATTGCCCTTAACATACAGCTTTTGCAATATCATCAGTTAAAGGAACGTTCTCACGAGCTATATCAGCAAGGTTAGCAATTGCTTTTTCTATTATCAACAACTTGATCATTATCATCATACACGCCTCTTTACTACATGTTCAGCATTCGTTTTTATTCTTTCTTTTTGTGTGTGAATTTTCAGCTAAAACCTCCAATGCTAAATCGCGGTTGCCAAGGCCTGATGACTTCTCAAAGGCCATTTATATGATTGATATTGGTCAAAATGACATTGATTTTCTGTTTAAATTAACATCAGAGGATCAAGTACAAGAATCTCTTCCTTTTATAATCAATCACTTTGCTTCCGCGATAGAGGTAAGTGTCTAAGTGATATCTATGCAATATAAGTTCCCTTTTTATTTGTACCGAGTTTAGTTTCCAATGTAGTACATTATTTCTTCCTCTGGTTTACAGCCAACTTGAAAAAATTCTGTTGCCATTTTCAGAATCTACACCAAGGAGGAGCTAGAAAATTTTGGATACACAATACAGGACCGTTTGGTTGCTTACCGGATAGTGTGGAGACTCTGAAGAGATATCTTCCCAATACTCAATTTACTGATGAAATAGGTTGTGTGAAGTCTTATAACGAGTTAGCTCAAGAGTTCAACCGTCTGCTCAAGGAGAAAGTGTCTGAATTACGCGCTACTTTTCATGACTCACTTCTTGTAATTGTAGACATATACTCTGCCAAGTACACTCTTATAAGGGATGAGAGTCAAAATGGTACTTAATTCAGAAAACTTAATTACTACTCGTTTTCTACATTATAGGCATGTTAATGCAACAGTTTAACTGTGATGGCAGGTTTTGTTGATCCTTTCAGTTACTGCTGCGAAAATTGTGCAGAATATCATGTACCTTACTGGGAAATGAAAATTGTTAACGACACCACTGCAATTCATCCAACTTCTTGTAATAGTCCTTCTGAATACATTAGTTGGGATGGTGTGCATTACACTGAGGCTGCAAACCGTTGGGTTGCTGAAAGGATTTTGGATGGATCGTTTTCAGATCCACCGCTATCCTTAGCTAAATTATGTGTTTAAATGCTGATAATCTGATCTCCAAACTTCTTGCTTTGTGTTTCCTACTCATGTAACTTTAAACCATACACATTAACGTATATTGTAAATTTGTAATGTGCTTCGGATAAATGTTACTCCGTATCAATTTCTGGCTCTTTGAATTTGTAACAGGATAGTTGTGATATATGGTTTGGTTACTTGAACCTTAAGCGTTATTTATAAGTACTATAAGTACTTGGTTTCAGTATTATCAATCATAAACCAATGCATCATAAAAAAAGCATTATTCCAAAAAATATAAACAATTCGACCTTTTTTATTTAGTTACAAAAATGTCATTTGATATGCGAGCTGATATAAATATTATAAACTACGAGTATAGTGGATAACTAATGTAATTAACTAATTATGTAAGACTGTAAGAGTGTTAAGTACTCGTATTTTTATAGGAGTAATGTCTAATTAGAAGTTCCTTGCAAATTAAGCTCATATTTGATTATTTATATAACTTAATCAATTTGACTTCATCATGTATAAATCAAGTACCATGTTTGTTCGCCAATCGCTATCTTTCTCAGATCGCATCTTGTAAATTTATCTCAAAGTAGATTATTTGAATCTTCTTCTCAGCAATTCAATCCCAAATCACTTAAAAATTAAACTTTGTAATTTATTTTTTTTACTTTAAACTGTAAGGTATGTCCTTCCCACTTATCAATTTTTCTCACCATTTTAAATCTCTGTTTTTGTGTTTATTATGATTTGTTGATGAAAATTTACAAATTATGAAACTTTATCAGCTTGATTATGATCTTACTGAAATGGGTATAGCTGGAATTTGTTCCTTTCTGTTTTAGGAGTAGCAGAAAATGATAAGAACTGTTCTTTGTTGATGTTCTTCTTGTGATCTTTGTTGCACATTAGGTGTTTGATAAAATGTGTGAAAGAGAAAGGTGTTTGATGTGCTAAATTGTTTTAGTTGTTCTGTATAGTCTGTTGCAGGAGATAGTATGAATGCTGAAGAGAAGTTTTTTAAGTTGGGATTCAGCTAGAGCTTTAGATTGAGTACTACATGTTTGATGAAATGCTTGAAAGAGGAAAGACTAATGTAATGATGAATTGGTGGAGTACTGTTAGTAGGAGACTTAAGGCTACTTGGGGACTGAAAAACCGTCTGTTAGTAATGGCAATTGGGGTTGTTGTAATTGTTGGGTTTGCATTACTTTTATCTCTTGGACCGCGAAGCAAAAGGGCAGTCGGTTTAACGGAAGAATGTCGAATTCCTGCCATTTACAACTTTGGTGACTCTAATTCCGATGCTGGTTGTGTGTCAGCTGCATTTGGACGTGTTCCATATCCGAATGGTATTTCATTCTTTGGCAAACCTTCTGGAAGGTATTGTGATGGGCGGTTAATGATTGATTTCATTGGTGAGTTGATGCTGCTAAACTCATTCTTAATTTCATCATTTGGAACTTATGCTTGCACATTTCATTGCATTAAAGAGTAGGTTCCAGACTTTGCCATTTCATTGCATTAAGCATGTATTTCTTTGCTTATCAGTTATCACCTATGCTTTCGAGTTCTTGAAATTGTCGTCTCTCTGTTGGACTGATGAGCTTGTGATTATGTTCCTATCAATTTTACCTAGAATTTAGTACTTTAGAGAAGTACCACATACTTAAAATCATTTGAAATGATGAAGTACCTTCCACTGAAGATTGGTGCCAGCAATTGTGGTATTATTATGTGAGTTAAACTGGTTTAACTGCATACTACCTAGTGAACTAAACTTGTTTTCTTCTTAGATCTTACATTCTTTAATGTAGGGTGAATAAGACTTTTACATCTTTTCAGGTTTGATAGAATTTGATGAGTCCTCACCCTTGTTTTCATATTTCCCCTTAATTCTTGCAGCCGAGAAGTTGGGATTGCCTTTTTTGAGTGCATATTTGGATGCACTTCAAGGAAACTTTCAGCATGGTGCTGATTTTGCTGCAAGTGGGACCACTATTCAGCATGTTGACGGGAAGCTGTTTGGAGGTGGTCTTAATCCTCTTTCCCTCGATGTACAACTTTTGCAGTTTGAAGGGTTGAAAGAACGGACTAGTGAACTATCTGCACAAGGTTGTGTTGGAATACATAATAATCTTTTTTTTCTAGAAAGAAGCTTCAGCTGCATATAGTTTTTGTCTGATTGTGTATCAGCTTTGTGGCTTTTGGTTCCTAGATGACACTAAGAGCCGCTTCCCAAGACTTGAAGACTTCTCAAAGGCCCTATATACATTAGATATTGGGCAAAATGACCTTCATCATGCGTTAACGACTATGACAGAGGATGAAGCTCGTGAAACTATTCCCAAGCTTGTAAATCAGTTCGCAATGGCAATAAAGGTAACTGCAAGTTCAACATGCATAAGTTATTTACTTGCAATATTTTACACTCCATAACCAATACTATGTTGATTGTTGATTCAATTGGGGGGGGGGGGGCTTTGGAGTATATGATGCATACTGAACATATCAAGATAATGGTTTTGTAATTAGGAATTTAGGAGGATATATCTTTCAGTCCTACACCTGCATTCTTCCATACTGATGTTGAATAAAAATATATTCCTACTTTTCATCTTCTCAGAAACTTCACAGTTTAGGAGGCAGGACATTTTGGATGCATAACACTGGCCCTATTGGTTGCTTGCCATATATTTTGGTGAAGTATCCTCCCCAGCCTGGAAATGTTGATGAAGCTGGTTGTGTCAAGTCTTACAATGAGGTAGCCAAAGAGTTTAACAAGCAACTCAAGAATAGGATTTCTGAACTGCGGACTCAACTCCACGATTCCCTTTTTGTATATGATGACATTTACTCAGCTAAATACTCACTTATTAGTGAATCAAAGAAATATGGTAAGATTTGTTACAAGGCTATGCCCCCTCCCGTTTTTATCTCCCCAGTCTTGATAACCACATTCAATGAGAGCCAAATGCGTCCAATATCACATGTTTTTCTTACAAAATACTCTCAATATTCAGGAGATCTTCCAAAATCTCCTATAAAAATGCCTGGGATAATTTGTAAAATTTGCCATCTCCGATATTTATCTTCTCATCCCTCCCCTCATGTGTTCAAGCATTAGCTGATATATTGTGTCCATGGTGATTTCAGGTTTTGTTGATCCACTCGGATTCTGTTGCAAGCATACTGGTAATTATTCTAGTTTGCATTGTTGGAACAAAGCAGAAGTGAACGGGACTGCAGTTTATGCAACTCCGTGCAGTAATCCTTCAGAATACTTAAGTTGGGACAGTATACATTACACCGAGGCCGCCAATCGATGGGTTGCAAATCGTATTTCAGATGGGTCTCTCTCTGATCCTCCTGTACCACCCATGGCTAGTTTATGTATGAAATCTTCCCTTTGAGCTTCATTTCTGCCCTAGTCGCAAAAACATCCTCTCCGCCACTCGTCGGAACTCTCTTAACCCTTGTCGGAGGCTGTCACACTTCCCCCATCCCTCGAAATCCTTCATCACCGCCCCTGTTTTGATTGAGCGATGAAGTTCATTTCGATCTAGGGTTTTTTCGGGGCTAATTGCGAGGGGGTGGGGATCGAACCCAGAATCTCTGGTTTCGTAGACCAGTGCCTTATCCATTGGGCCATGAAGTCGAATTTACTGTTGTGTTGATTTAAACTCTCAGCAAAATGTATATATACATTTTCACATTTTGTCATGTTCGTTCTTTTTACCCTGTACTCTTAACTTTTACTACCAGTAAATTTTATTTTTATTCTCATTCAATTTGTGTGCTTAACTTTTTAAAGAATTACACATTTACACTACAGAAAAGGAGGGATATCAAGAATTTGGCATGGTATGACTATATGAGTCAATCAAAGTTATCAAAGAAGTAGCGAAGTAATTCCTATAAAAAGTTATCAAAGAAGTAGCAAAGTAATTCCTATAAAGGTATTTTCTTTTAACTTGATTTTTTAAAAATTTATCCGAAAACTTGTTCTAATTATGAATTGAATTTTTGAAAACTTATTTGACTTGTTGAATTTATTTGAAGTTATTGGAGTATTAAATCTATGAAAACTTATTTTATTTAAGTTATACAACTATTAAACCTATATATGGATGCATATTTTAAATGAAAATATGATGAATTGAATCAATAATTGTCTTCTAATTAAGGTAAAAGTCCTCTTTTTCAGAAAGAAAAACCAACAACCACTCCAAAAGATCAATACCCAATGGCCAATGCTCCCATCTCCATTGATTTATTCACACAAAAAAAAAAATAAAAAAAAAAAAAAAAAAAAATCCTTAATAATGAAATACGACTTCACTGGGGATCGAACCCAGAATCTCTGGTTTCGTAGACCAGCGCCTTATCCATTGGGCCATGAAGTCACTAATTCTGCTCAGTAATTTCTTCTTTCACTTATATTTGCAGTTTCATACGTAATTCGTAGTATTTTACTTTTTTTTTTTTTGTTTTTTTTTTTTGGGGTTTTTCTATCTAATAACCCTCCAATTTCCACTTTTCTACGTTATGCTCCTCTAATTAGAATTTCCACACCGTAACCCCAAAATACATTTAGTTTCTAATTTTTTTTTATAGTAATCTTGCCGTTAACAAATTCCGTTAGTGGGCCCACTGTTCATATTAATATTTTTTATCGGTTTGCGTGTTGAAAATTATTCAGTTAAAGGTTTTGGGGCTAGTCTGGTTCTTAAGAGTCCAAATTGAGCTCAATAATAGATTAATTTTTATAATTTTTACGAATTGATAACTACCAAATAATAATGTTCAAAGCTAGAATATGGAGGTTTAATTTGTTTACATTTTGTTCAAATAGCAAAAGAAAACTACTAGAAAGCTTTATAGTAGTAATGTAGTGTTATCTTCTTCTTATTACAACTAATTAATTTGTTACATAGATGGACTTCTTATTCATACCATGTAAATGATACTGTAATATTTTCTCAATTGATACTCGGCTCCATATAGTATCATTCATTCATTCATTTTCATCAAGAGCATCGGGTTGTGCCACAATAACAGCATCTCGAAACGTGCTTAGCTGATAGTAAGAGTCATTCAGCCTCTTCAACAATGGAAACTCGTTAAGATCAACGTCGAACCACTTGATTGCACCATCTATCTCCGGTGCCAAATACACATCTGCAAGTGCAACTTCATCACCAGTTGCATATCTTCCAGCATGCTCTTGTAATGTCTTCTCCAAGGCTGTAAATCCAATCTTAAAATGATGTTTAGCCCAAGCCTTCTTCTCGTCGGATCCAAGCCTGTCTTCAATGTATTTTTGCACTTGTATATTTATGAACGGTTGTATACTTGAGGCTACCAAATTTGCAACCTGCTTATTGATTTCCATTCAAACACAAAAAAAGTGTAAGTATGATTAACTTTTAAAATCTGCTAGGTTCATGTACTCCGCATACAAACCTCAATTGCAAGTAGGATGCTCGCGACAATATAACAAATCACATCTCAATAATACGTGACAATTGCCAATTTGTCACCAAGACCAATTGAATTGCTCGGTCACAACAAAAAATATAAACCAAAATATATTTTCTTCGTTTTTATATATTTGCAACTGTTTGACTTTTACATTATTTATGTGTTTCACTTTGACTAGCTATGACAATTTATACTTAAGTAAAAATATAGTCATGTGGGATCTTGTTAGATTCAACTCGATCTATATAATTTTAAAATCAAATATTTATAGTTTTTACATATTGGTAATTACAGATATTAACAATTGAAAACTTGCTAACAAATTTGTTGTTGGTGCAATGGTGATTGAGACTGCACTTGTTAGGGAGGATTGCGTGTTCGATTCTCCACAACAACAATTGGGAGGGGACTTGAACCTAACCATCTAGAACTGAACCCTGAATCTGGATTAGCCTAAAGGGTGAACCAAAATAATAAAAACAGAAAAAAGAAAATGATTCACCTCATAATTGAGAGCTCTTTTTGGAAGATCATCTTTGGATGGCAACAAAGAGGGTTGAGGATACTTCTCTTCCAAATACATTATTATAGCAGAGGACTCAAAGATAACTACATCACTATCAACTAAAACGGGCACAAAACTTCGAGGACTCATCTTCATAAACTCAGGTTTAAACTGATCTCCTTTGAGTACATTCACCTCCTTGTACTCATACTCAAGCCCTTTTAAGTGGAGAGCGATTCGAACCCTCGCCGAGCTTGAGCTCTTCCACCATGAGTACAGCTGAATCTTCTTTGGTTTCTGCTCATCAGCTTCTACTAAACTTGCCATTTTTAGTACGTATATTTTGTTTAATAATGTTGTAGGATATGAAAGCTACTTAATCTGATGCCATTCTTTATATATTTCATCTTTTTTTGGAATAAATACAACGCAGCCAGGGTTTTTGCATAGCTAAGAGCTTACGTGATCTATGTCACTAGTTTTAGTCAAAATGAGTAGGCCTGGCCATATTCTCTTAAATATATGATGAATGCAAATACAACCAACCTTCTTTAATTGTCATAAAAATATACTAGTGTAAGGCTCGGACAATACCCATGATAAAATCATTTATTAATATCTACTTTTTATTAAATGACATGTAATATGCTTAATTGCTTATAGCTTAGTAACTAACACGTTGGAGTTTAAACTTAATATTGTGAGTTTCAATCTTGTAAGAATCACATTTAGGAGAGCGTTAAACCTTTTTAGCAACGTCTTTTAATACTACGTATAATAAATATAGATTATACTTAATATCATAATATCATAAACTTTGTCTTACGCTTATTCCATTTGTTTTTTGTACGATTTCAACTGTACATCTTTGATTGTAATACCTGAAATTTTTAAACATGATTTATTATAAAATTTATATTATTAGCTTAATTAATTTTTAATCTCTATTTTAACAAGTACGAATATTTTACTCTTAATTTTATTTTAAGATTATATTATTTGAAAGCTAATTTTACGAAGGAAAGTATTTATTACGGAGTATTTTAAATTTATTTCGGGTCAAATGATATTTTTATGTCCCGTTAAATGTTTAAAGATTTGCATTAGCCGAGAGTATGAAATGACCAAAATACCCTTGCTCACACAAAATGACAAAATCCACCTCCTCCATTTACCTTTTCTTCTTCACGGCTAAGTATTGAAGGCCATTAAGTTTTGCTTGTTCTTTTACTCGTTTCTCAATTTTCCCAACCAATCAAAGTTGATTGAATAAGCTTAGCTCAACCTTGAGCTTATCCAACTCCTTCACGGCTAAGAATTGATGATTCAAAGTCACCTTTTGCTTCCTTATAATTGGTTGCTTAATACTCAAGCCTATCACTTTAGCAAACTTCATCTTATGATTCCTACCCTTCATTTCTTTCAAGTTCTTGGAATATATTACCTTTGCTTGAAATGGTTGCTGCCATCTCTTTCCTTGCCACCAAGCTCACACATTGCAACCACGTACTCTTCTTCTTCCTCCGTTCATGGCATGCTTGGTGACGTAAGAAATTTATGAACCTAAATACAATAATAATGTATGTGGACTATACGGTGATGATTGTAGTTTAGCCCAAAATTTAAGTGATCCATTTAAGTAATTATTATTATTGGGCTTGTTATGTCTTTTTTATAGAGTTTGGGTTTAGCTTTATGTGTAGAGACCGTTAGGCCTTTTTTAATGCATGATAGACGGATTAGGGAAGGGGGTCTGTATAAATAGATCAAACATCTAGGGTTATGGTCCTTAGTAGTACATACAATAGACTCTCAGTTATATCCCATCAATAGAGAGAAACCCTAGAGTGCATATCTATCTACTAGAAGATGCATAATTTAGAATTGAAGGGACTCGATCAATTGATATGAAGATTCAAATATATTGTAGGAATTAATCCTAACAAGTGGTATTAGAGCCTCCTTCATATTAGATTAGTCGAGTTTTATGGATCTATTATTCAATCGTATGAGTTAAGTAATTTGACAGTTTTACGCTTGTTATTCGGTTAAATTATGAACATATTGTTTGATTGTATTATATGCCCCGCTGCGATTGAATAATTTGACAGTTTTACGCTTGTTATATCGTTT